GTGTACTGTGTAACTCGGAACAATCATGCAGTGCCATATTTTAAGCTGTTTTCGAAGTTTTTTGTTTTGACAAACATAACCTATTGTTGGTATCAGTATTTTCCCCTTTGGAATAGCGTGTTTGACAAATTTTTGTAGTAATTAAAGTTAATTTAACTTTATCAAGCTTTATGCATTAAAGAAAATATTTTAAGAAACTCAAATTTTGTACTAAGACTGAAAAATATCTATCTATCTATTTAACATGTATTTTGAGATTCTATTCCAAAACGTACCTAAAGGCTCAGAAGATGGCATAAAAGTGAATGGCAAATAAATAAATAACTTAAGGTGTGCCGATGACACTGTTATAGTTAATACAGAGGCTACTAAAGGAATACAGTGTCTGTCTGAGAAGATATCAGTTGAAATAGATCTATTGGGCCTAAAAATCAATACTGTAAAAACGAAGATATTAGTGGTAAACCAGAATAAAAATCAACCAGTGCACATAAATGTATATGGTACAGAAATAACCAAAGTCTCTAATACCTGGGCAGCTGGATATGTTAAGATCTAAATAATGACTTAAAATCCGAGCCCGAATTGAAATTACCAGGGCAACATTTTTGTTAATACACTCGATCTACAAATAAGATACAATTTTTTGAAGTACTACATAATATTCCATACTGTTAATATGGAGTTAAAACGTGTGAACATACTTTAAGCGTTTGAAACCTGGGTATATAGATGAATGTTACGAATACCTTGGACTTCCCACACCACCAACTAGGAAGTTTCCCACTGAACGAGCAGGGAACAGAAGCTCATTGAAATCATAAAAAACGGAAAACTTCAATATCGGACATGTAATAAGAACAACAGATGCGAACGATGTGTCAGGGTTAACAGCTTATAAAGCATTATGTAGTGTTTCAGATAAACCTATTATGAAAATAATGTAGTCTTTTTGTAATTATTTTGTTCCATATACCGACAAGCCACCATTATATTTACTTAGATTTCCCACACAATCAGCCAAAAAATATAAACACTGGTAGGAGCGTATTCGGACCCAAATGGCAATATGTAATCAGGTATTTGGATTCAAAATTATTGACAATATACGAAGTATCTGACTATGTGGGATGGACATATCATCCAGCGTTTAGCTCTCAGAATCATCCTTTAGACCGAATCCCGGGAAGAAAGCTTCACATTTTTAATTTAACCAAAATTCTAAAAGTAGAAGGTAGAAAATATTTAGCAGTTCGATGTCTAAAAAGAGCAAGGCACTATTCTGAAAAAAATTCTGAAATTCTCAAAAAATAATTTTGATCCGGTTGATTATGAATTTTTACTGGAATATACAGAAATAAAAAAGGTAGAAAGAATATTAAAATGTATATTAGTTTGTTCCGGGAATATTTGGTTCAAAATAAACGTTAATTTCATATAAGTTTGGATCTGTCTCATATATTTAGTATTACTGCAAAATGCTCCAAAATACAATTCAATATTACGAAAGGTAAATACATTATTGTACTTTTGAGCGTCATGTTATAGGTAAAAAATAAAAACTAATTTGACTAAAAAATGACGTACAAATAAGTCTCCTACAATTTTACCTAGGTAATCAAACTTACTACAAGCTTAGAAATGAGTTAAGTTTATCTTAAACTTAACAATAAGCAGCAAAAGAAGGAAAAATCGTCCCAAAGTACGGTACACTCCCCTATTATGTTCCTTAATGAAAACAGAGCAACAGGTTACTTATATTAAATGAAAAAGAGAGAAATAAAAATAATGACGATTATCAACATTAAAAAAAAACTGCAAAAAAAACAAAAATATTGGAGCACACTTCTCAGAATATACATTATTGAATTAGCACAATATAAAGTAGCTTTTGGTCAAAATTATACGGCAAGTGACTATTATTTTTATTACTCGTCCCTTTTAAAAGCGCTCTGACAATCAAGTGATATATTTTATTAATTTCTCTCATTATGTAACAATGCATCATGTCTAGTAAAAAGCTTGTGGCATTAAAGCTTACTGCAGTATTTATTCACCTTCGTTTTATTACATAACTTTCCTACAAAAGCATATAATTATTTTACAAATCCACGGTTTCCTTTGTACAATAAAAAAATCATTTTTGGCAGTTAAATATTTTTAGAAAACGAGTAATTTTAAAACGGTAACGTAATATAAGAATCTATGAAATGTTCCAAAATTGTTAATATTTAAATCAGGTGATCTTGTATCGACAGACACCTTAAAAGTTTTAACAACACTTCAATATTAATACTTTTGTAATTCTACATTTAAAGAAAAGTATACCCAATTTTAAATGGATAAATAATGTCATTACATCCACTTTCCTTAAACGTTATTGAATTAAAGACTAAAAAGCGTCCCAATTTTAGGAATATACAGCGTTTGAATAAACTACGGAATTAATAAATATCTTTAACACGAAAAAGACTATATTTACGAACTTTGCATTCAAGTAGAATGACACATAATGCATCATGCATGCCATATTTGTTGTCACTACTACTCTATTTCCGGTTTTACCGGAAACACCCTTAACTTATTTAATTTAAATGTTAAACCCTGTATATTTTTTGCAGATTTTAAAAGAACTTGTTATTCCTAATTCATGCGTATCAAATTTGATAGAAAAGAATTGTTAAAACGAAATAAATCGCTTGAAAGTTAATGAATAGATAAAGTTATTTATTAAGACCAATGACAGCCTCGTGAGAACTAAAAAAGGAAACACGTGTTTCAACATTTTTTTGCATCAAAACGATGTAGCAAGAAATAAACGAGTACTATATAGTAGGTCCCTATTGTCAAACCAACTCACAAAAATAAGTTGTAGATTAAAAATGGTTAATATTAATGATTGGTTATGGTAATGTTGTTGGAATTAATCAAGAAGTGTGTGTAATATTTTTAATGACTTACATCCTGAAATAAATCCCATATCACATTTTACGGTTACTAAAACATTGCAGCGTTTTAATACAACTGGAATGGTCAAACATTTGCCAAAAACCGAAAAACAGCGAACCAAAACAAAATGAAGAAGAAGATTTAGAAGAATCCCTTAAACTTCCATTACAAATTTGGCACTATAGCATACTTTGTTTATATTCTGTAAAGAAAGTATCGAAGAATATTACCCTATAAGATACACTTGGTTGATGATTTTTCAGACGATGATTTTAGCAGACAGATATTTTTGCGAGCGACTGATAGGAGATTTAGAATGACTAACAATTTGCAGCTAATGTAGTGTTTTCCGATGAGACAACTTTTTGTTTAAATGCAACAGTTAACCATCATAACTGTAGGTTTTGGTCTAAAGAGAATCCTCATTGGATTTATAAAGCACATACACAGCATCCAAAAAAGTTAAATGTTTGAATAGGAATTGTCAGAAATAGGCTTTTAGGACTATTTTTCATAAACGGAAACTTAGCTGGTGACAAGTATTTTGATTTACTAAATAATCAAATTATTCCTACACTTTAACAAAATGGCAGGTTAGCACAAAATTCTTTGATTTTGGATGGATTGGAAGTAAAGGATTCATAAATGGCCTGCTCGTTTCCCAGACCTTAGCCCGTTGGATTTATTTACTTTGGGTTATCTAAAATCACGTGTTTACATTAGGCGACCAACACGCTGGATTTGAGAAAAATAATTATTTATGAATGTGAACTAATACGTCGAGAAGTATTGGACAGAGTGACTCACAAATTTAATAATAGGCTTGAACATTATCAGGAGATAAGCAGCTACCATTTTTAACGTTTGAAGTGTTTTTAAAATTATTCTTAGTACATAAATTTACCTATTCTTTAACTGTAAAGTGATTTATTTCTCATTTTAATATTATGCATAAATTACGTCCAGCGCCCACTTGCATGATAACAATGTAGAATTATTAATATTTGTAACAAACTGTTCATTAAAATTTTTCATAGATATAAAATCTGTGAATATTTCAATATTATTTGGTTTTCATTGCAATCAATTGTAAAAAACACATTACTCAGTTTGGTAAGTTAGTTCGTAAAACATGCAGGGACCACAGTCTGGTAAAACATGTCATGTATTATAATCTATATTTCAGTGATATTCAAAGATCGTGAGATTTGCTGGTCAAAGAAGCAAATGAAACAAATGAGAGATAAAAAACCTGAATCTAGATTATATTTGCGCACCAGAACTACAGGTTCTACAGCTACTGGTTACTGGAATGTAAAAAGGCTAAAAAGAAAAAAAAAAACATTAAACTGAAGTAAGGTTTTCGAGAAATAACAAAATTCACAAGAGAAGAAAATCAAAGAAAGGCGGTTCAACGATACTTCTTGATGTAATGTGGGAATTTAATAAATAATGCTTGTTTAACTTCTTCGACATGTTAATGATCGAAGACAATCTAAACAATTATAAAAATTCATTTTGAAATGAACCACGATAGGTTATTTAGATATACAATAAATTAAAGCTGTACTATAATGTACGGTGCAAGGTCAAGTGTTCTATTGCAAATTTTGTAAATCAAACTGGTATTCACACTTAACTTGGAAAATATATTGGTAATATGCTCATCTACTATACAGAAATTTATGCACTGCATTGATTCAGAGCAGTTTTATTGCATAATATCTTTGGAACCGCCCTTTAACGAATTTCGTAGTTAATTGGAATTGGTTAATGACATGACCAGTTTCATACTTTGGTAACTGATTCGGCTTTAACTTGCTTTTTGTGCATAACAATGTAGAATTAAATACAAAGAAAATATTTATTGTTAAAACTTCAAGTGAACTGTCGACAATAACTTCTTCTGCACACATTTAGTAAACACATCAAATTTCCACCATAATTTGGTCACGATTAAAATATATTATCACCTTAAAATCATTCAGCAACTCGATGTTTTCAACAGGAGCAGCTAATACTTTTTCATACTTTCAGAAAGTACACTCAAAAAATGTCCTATCGGTTTATGGGTACAATTACAAAAATTATCAGTACATTTTTTTAAATAAGTTTCATTTTCTTTTAAAAATACATAATAGTAGCTTAAAGAAATAATACAAAGTTAATTTAAACCGTATTGTTGACTGTCCCAACCAGCACAAGTAAGATTTTAGTTCGTAGTAAAGCAATCAAGCTTGTTTGTATATGCATAGAACTGAGTGCTGTCTTCAGACAAATCAACGTGATAAAAGTTGCTCTGTGTGACATGTTTAATTCAAGTGAAAACCCTTTTCTTTAGTAGCTGCTAATAACCTCTGTCGTAAAATTTCTTCGGTGGGGTAATCAGGTAGTTTCAAATAATGAACGCAGGTATTTACTGAAGGATAGGAGCCCTCGCCAGCATCCACTTTGCGGACTATCGTTAATCTCGGGTAGAGATTGGCTAAACCTCCTGGGGGAAGTGAACTGCAACCAGTTGTAAATTGCAAAAAGGCTTTTCTCTCTTCGGGCGACATATTTACAAGCACATTGACAAATCGAAGGAAACCAGGACTGAAAAATAAAAAAATATATTGTAGCATCTTTCATCCCATATGAATATAATAAAAAATTCATGTTTTTGAAATAAATAAGACATTCACCATTTATCCCATTATATTTAGAAAAGTGTTCAAGATTTGAAACAATAAAATATTTTAAGGTCCCGTCTGTTCAGCGTCAGTTGCCTCTAATAAATATATGCGCTATCAATTTTTACACAGATTATTCTCTGTTCATCTTAGGTAAATTTAAAATAATACTTTTATATAACAATAAAACGCTAAAAATTTTGTTCTGAAGCTATTTTCTTGTGGCATTTTAAATTAATTACTATTTAACTGGGAATAAGCCACAATTAAAGATAAAAATATTTGTATATATTTGTATTTTGAGAACGATTTCCGAAGTGAAAATTGAAACGTCAATAAACGTATTTTTATCTTTAATTGTGGCTTATTCCCAGTTAAATAGTAATTAAGCTAAAAATTTTGTTTTCAAAACTTCTACAAAATTTATTCTTCTTCTTAACGTACCCTATCAAGTCCCCTTGACGTTGGCGATTAACATGGCGAAACTGTTTCTGTCTCGAGATATTCTAAAGAGTTGCTCAGCTTTCTTTATTCCTGTCCACTCTCTGATATTATTCAACCAAGAGGCCTGCTTTCTACCAATTCCTCTGCGTCCTTCGATTTTACCCATCATAATAAGTTGAAGAATATTATATCGGTCTCCCCTTACTACGTGTCCAAAATAGGCCATCTTTCTACATTTGATGTTATCAAGCAGCTCGCGAGCAGCATTTGCTCTCTCAAGGACTGCCACATTTCAAAGGCCTCCAGACGATTAATGGTGGATATTTTTAATGTCCATGCTTCGACACCGTATAAGAGGACTGACCAAATGTAGCATTTATCCATACGCTTTTGAAGTTTATTACAAAATCTTATCACTGCAGCTGTTTCGGCAGAGTGCCTTTGTCAAGTAATCTATTTTTGGGATGCGTTTACACTTTATAGTCATTAACGAAATAGGTTGAAGAGGGGAGAACTGTTTGCCTTAAGTTGGTCATTCAGAATTATGTCTTGTGTTTTTTAATTTGTTAATTTCCGTAGATTCTAACAAAGATAGCTTAAGGCCTTTATTTTCGATGTGAACAATTTGAAATTGGCCATTAAAAGAATTATTATGATCTAGAAGGTGAAAAGCGTATTTGGAATCTGTTTTTCTATTATTGTTCTGAAGTTATTTTCTTGTGGCATTTTAAAGTCATTGCTATTTAAATGGGAATAAGCCACAATTAAAGGTTAAAATACGTTTATTGACGTTTCAATTTCCACTTCGGAAATCGTTCTCAAAATACAAACATTACTAAATTACACAAATTTTGTTTTTTTGTTACTTAGTGAAAAATTCTTTTAACAATTTAATTTTATCTGACTCATTTATATTGACAATTCAGACATACTTTATACATTTTAAAGTAGACGACTTTAAAATGATATTGCCAATATTGTTGAGTTGTGCTCCTGGGACGACTTTACTTGTAACATAGTTCATTCGACTACATAAAATCAACTTTAACTTGAGAATTTCCGTCAGAAAAAATCATAGCATGTAACTCGTCTTTAAAAGGATAAACACATGTCATGATGACAGTAAAATTCTCCTGTTAGTGATTCCATAGTAAATTATGAGGGGAAAACATAATACTATCACGACATGATAAGTATTTGGTCGTGCATTTAGTTTACTTTCAATAAACACCAAATTCTGATTTTATATGTTTGTTATTTAGAAAACATAAATGATGTACCAGATCTTACTGCATTCTGCCGAGGAATTTGCGACACAATTGGTGTCATTTATCATAATTAGAGCCGCTTCTTTGATTTTTCTCTTTTTACCATCCGTTTCTTTTAGAACTATATTTGAATCATTCCATAGAACCCTATGTTCATTATCCCATGCATGTTTACATATTTGAGATCTATCAAATTCTCTATTTTTAATATAAGACTGATGTTCACTTATTCTAACATTTAATGGCCTTGATGTTTCACCCAAATAAAACTAAATAAGGTTTCACCTAAATAAGTTGATCATTAAACTGTATTCATCGAGGTAAATGTTACAGATGTTCTTAATAACAAAAGCATTTCAGTTAACATACAAATGTATGAAAGTCGCAGAAAAAAGTATGCGTAAATATAAAGTTGGACCTAATAAAACCCTCACTTTAAAGAAAAAAAGTCGCGAAAGGAAATTAACGACTTAATCAAATCATAACAGCGTCAAAAATTTAATTCGCTTAGAAATTTATCGCATGTATGAAGAAAGTAAGTTTCTATTATATATAAAAAAATATATATTTTATAAAAAAAGTTAGGCTAATTTAGTTTATATCGTTAAGTTGCGCCAAACGTAGGCAACCAACTTAAACTTTTTGCTAGCATTTAGCTTGAGTTTCTTGAGAATAGTTTCAATAAATGAATAAATTTTAATATTATCCAGCTAATTTATGTTTTTGTTTACGTGATGATAATAGTGGTGAATATGCAATATTTTAAATGATATATAATCACAAAACGAACTTAATATTGTGTTATATAATAATATAACACAATATTGTAATATTGGAGTAAAAAAGTCAAGAAACAATGTATACATTAAATTAGGTCAGTTTTTAAGATGTAGAAATCTTCGTGTTTTCCTCACACAGCTTTTTCTTGATTTTCGAAAGTTATAGTTTTGTGATTTATGGGGTTTCTCAAATAAGTGATTCATTTGATGTTTTTAGATGTTTTTATGATGTTTGATGTGGCTTAATCCCATATTATAAACATAATATTCAAATTTCGCTTTGACAATTTTTTTAGGTTAACGAACTAAGTGGATTTTTCGATTATCTCGGGAACTGTTCACTAAAAAAATTAAAAGATACACCCAGATGGATTCTCTATTTGAGGCGTACTTTGACCTTTGGATTTGAATCGGATGTTCTCAAAATTTGCGCATATTGTCTTAATAACTTCAAATCTAAATAAAATAACTTACCTATCTTTGGTGTAACCAAGTTTGGGTTCAGTATAATTAAGAAGATCTTCCATAGTCCATTCGGGATTCTGATCACCACATAGCATAACACGCACCTCATCTGGACTGAATGCAGCCAATTTTTCAATTGGGAAAACTAAAGAAAATCCCTTGTGGAACGCTTCTAACTGCCTAGCTATACCTTTATCTAACCAGAACGTCGTTGTCAATTCTGCATACTCCTCTACATTATCTATATTAACTTCTATATCAGCACCATTAGGAACTAAATCTACAGCCGAAAATCCATATATACTGGAACTGGGTAAATATGTAAACGTCAAAGCAAGATCTTCTAAAAGCACGGGCCCAGAGGAATGACTTAAACATAAATTCTGGACCTGATGACTTCTTTGTTCTGGACTCAAAGTGTGATCTTGAAGAATTTTTTGCTTTTGTTTGATAATTTCTCTAATCTGTTTCAGGAAACTAGCTCTAATAGGATCTATATCATACAAGTCTTCTTCTCCTAAAATATTATAATACCAAGGCCTCTTTTCTTCCATAATTATCTTTGGAGGATCGAGTTCTAACTCTTTCTCACTTTCTTCGGAAATAAAACTCGATGTCATTATATCTTCTTCCACCGTTTTCTTAACTCCAGCAAATCCAATGCGTTCATTTACTGTGTTTTGTATTTCACCATGACACATCAGTTTTAAGAAGCTACTGCTCAGAGGCAAATCAACCAGACGATTATCTTGTAATACCTAAAATTAAAATTATTTTTAGATATCTACATAAAGCAGAAATATATAGCAAGTTTTACATCAGAATTATAAAATGAACTCTCTTTTCCTGACTAATTAATTCACGCAGTTTTGGCCAGTATTTAGAATTCAGATTAAATTTTCAATATATATTAAAATAAAATACAAACCTTAGCTAAGAATACACCCAGAAAGTAGAAATACTTAACAGCTTTATCACATACGTCAGAATTCTGAAGTAGAGGGGCAGGGAAGAGACCTGAAGCTCTACGGACATAGTATCCAGGAGGTTTCATTCCTTCTCCCAAGTCTACCGGTTCGTTTAGGCTTATAGCTTCGTCGTCACAAATCCACATGCCTAAATCTCTCCTCTGTAGTTCTGCGGCTACCAGTGCATAAAATTCGAGTGTTGGACCTAAACCTAAAATAAATCAAATTGATTTATCATTTACCGGTTATGCAATTCCTATAAAAAATATTATCCAGATCATTTAATTTTCAATAATAAACAAAAATGTAATACAATGACATGTATGCATTTCATGGTAGTACTATCTTCGCCGTGCAGATCTTTACTTGTCGATAGCAGTTTTTAGATAACATGAATCATTTATAGTAAATAAAATTACATTATATTCCCATAATAGTAAGGTAAGAGCGAGTAATTAATAAATTCACAGAATGACAAAAGGACTGACAGAGACATAATGATGAAAATTAATTTCTATAAAATAAAAAAAAAATGAAATAACCAGGCCACTAGAATTGTATGATTTTCCAATAGGTGGCCTTGACGGCAGCAGTGGGCTTAAGAAAGCGCAGTTGCCACAACTACCTCAATGTATATTACTTATGTCCAGCTGAAAGATTTACGTACACTGAAAAATTAAGTAAACAATTATAGTTACCTGTTCCTTCCTCTTCAGCGAATTCAACTTCCAAAATGGACTTTCTAGCAGCATGAATTTTCATCACTTGCATTGCCCATTCCAGCAACTGCTCTCCTCTAGGAACTTTCACCCTTTCGTGCTTTAACCTCCCCACTCTGAACTCATGAGGATCGTCCCTTCTTGGAGACAAACCGGGCGTTCTTTGCCTTTCCATTGTAACATCCCTTTGCGTCTGCAACCAGACTATGCTTCGGGATGCACCAAAAGCGGTACAATTAAAGTATAGCTGCCTCGTTTCAAATGGAAACAGGAAAGGACATGAATGGTTTAGTTCTTCACACCTAAAACATAATAAATTACATAGTCTTAATGTATGCCAACAAGCTAAATGTGATAAAGTTATAATCATTAAATTTTAATGAAGCATTTATACAGTATCGACAATACAAAAGAGCAATAGAGAGCTACAAACATTGAACTGATACAACAGAAATGTCTACGTTGGTTTGGTACAGTTCATTTCACGGATTTTGTCCGATGACTGAAATCATACTCGAGGCACATTTAGAGTAACATCTCTGTCAGACACAGGCAAGTTAGAATTTTAAACGGGGACGTATGTTGTTTTAATTCAGCACCTAGGCAATTGCATCTAGTTTCACACGTAAATAGAAAATATTCAATATGGGAGTCTTTACTTAAGGCTGTTTTATCGGTGCACCAAAACCTAGTGACAGTGTTTTCTCTGTTATTTACCGACAAAATGTCTCGAAATTTGGCTTTTTTTATTTTTTTGAAACTTTTGTTGAAAATTGGATTATAATGTTTAACTTTCTATTATAACCAAACTTTTTACGCCCATCACTTGAAAGAGTTTTTTTCTGTACTCGTTGATTTTTTTTTCACACTTCTGTGTCCAGTAATAATCGAGAAAAGCGTGTTCCAACTTTAAAGAAAATTGCTAAAAAATACTAAAATCTAATAGTGAAACGTGTTACTCATCATTGGCGCTTAGTTTTATCCTTATCGCCTTCGTGGCGTCAAATCTCATAAATGTACGGTCAGTTAGTTCGTGTTAAAACTAATTTGAATGGTAAAAGTACTGAGTAAAGATGGTCTGGCGTCATGATACTAAGACTTCCAAGATAAACCCACTTCGCAATAGAATTTTGTACGTCGACACGCATGACGTCACCTTTATCATCACAGTCGGTAAAACATATATAGAAAGAGAGTTTTTTTTTTAAATATTTAGAATATTTAGGGATGTTGGGTAAAATATCTGCAATTAAAACTTAAAAATATGTTATATATACATCTCTGTTAGCCTAGCAATGTAAATTATTAGAATTTAAATAGATCATAAAATTATATAAAAAAGTGGGAAGTAAACATCCTTTTGGAAATGGAAATTTATATACAATGGATTGATTTATTAAAATAAAAATTTAATACAACTGATTAAATAAAGTAATAATAATAGTCTCCCGTTTTATACCGCACGCGGCTTTGGGAGTATAGCAGGGTAGTCCTGCTATATCTAGGGCCTACGGTATACAAGGAAGGTAACATGGCCAGTGCTACGCTTCAACCGCCTATTATTACCCCTGGTTTTACCCAAGGTACTCATTTTATTCAGGCTGAGTCGACCTGGGGCCTATAGACATTTAAAAATGCCTAGTTGTTCTTGCCGGCGGTAGGATTCGAACTCACGACCACCGGCATGCGAGGCAAGCACACTACCGCTTGCGCTACGCAGGCCCCGTACACTGTAATAATTATATATATATATATATATAATTATAATAATAATAATAATTTATAAGTTTTATTTAACAATTTATTTTACAAATTTTAATATTTCTTCTTCTTAACTTTGGATGATTCTTTACAATATCTATTCAATTTTCTAATTTTAAAATATAATTTACACCTAAAAAAAGATGTTTGTAATCTGAACTTACGTTTACTAACATTACATCTGAACACAGCTAAATCCATTAGCGATTTTAAATAATTCTTGGTTAATTTTAATGACCCTTTGTTAAAATTGTTAAAAATATGGTTCAGTTCATTATATTTAATTAGAAAATCTGGATATGGTTTTAAGTAAACCTCCTTGGGAAAGATAGTTTACCCAGTAAACCGATGTCAACGTACATGATAAATTATAAAATAATACTAAATCTGACAAAACTCCATATACCACAGCACATTTCTGGTGACATTTGTCGCCAAGTGACGTCACACGACTTATCGCGTGCGCGTGGGTTTATCTTTAGTTCATAGTATCATGGTCTGGCGTAAGCAGTGTAGAAAAATAAGTGATACGCCCATTTCAAATCGCAGTGTGCTGTAACTGCTAAAACAGCCTTAAAATTTAATTCCTAGTTGCCGTCATAAACGACTCACGACAAACCTTGCATGTTTGTTTTTGTATCTTTGTGTATTTTTGTGTTTAAATAGAATTTGTGTTTGTTTAGCCTTTGATGCTTTTGACATCTGACCTATTGCAGTTACCATGACGATTTTATGTACACATACTAAACACTGTAAGTAAAATAACAGATTTAGGGTGCAAAAGGTTTTCCACCTCATTTCTGTTACATTAGCTCGAGAATAACAATCTTAGGTGTAACGAAACAGAGAGTATAAACGTTTATATAGTTTTCGCTATTTATTTATAGGAACATTATATTTTTTTTCTTAATACTATAATTGCCATACACATGTTTAGTTTCCATGCTATATTCTTTCTAGTATTTTTCCATAAGACACATTTAAGATCTTTATGTTTTTGGAAAAATGTGTCTTTATTCACAGTTACAATTAACAAAAATCATATGATTAGGTTTCTCACTATAATTTTAATTTCAAAATTGATGTGGATTTTTTTAGGTACATTACTGTTTCTAATGTAAAACTTATTGCTTTCTGATGGAGAAACATACTGTTCAAGCAAAGTAAAAGCGTAGTAACTGTAATTAGAACTCAGCTTTATGAGAAACAATAATTAAGTGGTAATAAGTTCGTATTAAATGAAGTTGTATAGACACAAATGATCTTGAACACTCTGGTTGATCGAATTCGGCTGTTGTCTCGGAAAACATTGAAAAGTCCATAACATCACTTTGGCCGATCATAAATTGAACTTGCGTGATTCATGAAAGTAGTTGGAGATATCGGAAGGCAGTATATTAATTATTTTCTAAAAGGAAGAGCCATAAAACAGTGATTCGACCATTATAACGTATGGAAGAGAGACGTGGACACTGAACCAGTGTGAAACAACAAAATTATTAGTCTTAGATCGAAAGATCCTCGGGGCGATCTTTGGGCCTGGTAGAAACGAGATAGCAGGAGAGTGGAGACGAAGACATAATCAGGAACTCCAAGCACTTTGTGGAGAAGAAAACATAATACGATATATTAAGACAAATCGGATAAGATAGCAGGACAAGTACTGACAGGACATGTATAAAAACAGCGAGATTTAATGACGAAAGACTACTAAATAGAACTTTCTTGAAAAGGCCCGATGGCAGGTCAGTTGGTTACCCAAGATAAAGATGAAGGATGCAGTAACGAATGATCTACGTAAGTGAGAGCGCCCACCAAAGTGGCGTGGCACGTAGCAAGTAGCACGCGTCCTAGCATGTTTCTTAAAATGTAACCAATGAAAAAGAAATGATTTAGCGTACACCAAAATGACAGCGACGTCATTCATTCTAATCATTTGTTTTCATTGTTACCTTTTAAGAAACATGCTAGACGCGTGCTACTTGCTACGTGCTACTTGCCACGCCACTTTGGTGGGCGCTCGCCCTAAGATTGGGGTGCTGCACAAGACCGGCAAGAGTGTTGGATAGATTAGGTTATGAATGTAGATCTACATTCTTCGTCAACCAAATCTTCGTTTCTTTAACATTTTGATGTTACTTTACAATTCTTCTTACTTTAATCCAATGTATTTGATATCTAATGCTTGTTTGACTTTATTTTGGAAGTAATGATTTCTATAGTTTAAATTTATGTTAACAATCGGTATTTTTAAATTAGTTGTAGTTTGTTAAAAATATTTATATAATAAAAAATAAACATTTCAAAATATATTAAAAAAACTTACCATGCAGGCAAACTAGAGCTGGACAAAACTAGCGGATCTTGGATTTGTTGTAAAAGTTTGTTGGTGATTTTCTTGCTGGAATATTCATCTGCTGGTATATCGGCATTATCCAGTATTTTGAGATCATTCTCTTTTGAGGTTGTAATGACGAATAGGTGTCTTAGAAGCTGTAATACATCTTCAACTGTACAATTTGATACCGAAGGAGTGCCAGGTACTGGTGTACTCGGTGATAAAGTGGTACCAGCGATGGAACTACTTCCACTACGAGAAAACTGGGTCGCTACTGGAGTAGCTCTGCCTTCCTCTATGTCGTAACTTCCATCGTCTTTCAATTCCTTATATATGATTCTAAAAACAAAAACAATATTTAGTTATATATACACACAATAGCAAATGCCTCTCTATTAGAAGAACTGTATTACATAAAAAACAAATACTACATAATTTACCACTTTTTTAAATATATCGCATGGCAGAATCATACCATATAAAAACAGTTAATGGAAGGAAAAATAATAGTTGAAGACTAAAACTGAGTTCAGACACATGCTGTGAAGCACCAATTTCCTACTTTAATTGGTCATGGCATCTATTTGGGGTGTCATATACATATATAAAAACATGAATAGCTGCCATTCTCGCTGCACGAGAATACTATCATTATTAGTTATATAGTACATCGATTTAAAAATAGTAGAATATGAAGAACAAAAGTTGTAAATTCGTTGAATTACTTAAAACGGCAGCGACGGACAAATTTCTTATGGCCGGGAAGTCTGAAAACGGGACGTTTTCCTTTGAGAAGCTCTAAAAGGCGCCAATTTGGTACTTTATCATAAATATGAACACCATATCTTTTGGGAATATAGTAAGTAGAAAATACAAGAAAAATATTGACTGACAAATTGGGGCATTCATCAGGTTGGACACCTGTAATATGTTAAATGTAATTCTTCGCAAAATCATTTTTGATTTTGTGACAAACTTTCTTCGTAGTGTCTGACTGAAAAATCACCTGTATTTTTGGGTGTCCGTTTATGGCCCCAATAATTTTGCCCGTCAAGATTTAAAAAGTATTTTTCGTCCAATATCTATCAATCTGACGTAAAATATATAATATTGTTCATAATATTTGCGATAATTCGGAAATTGACACTTTACAGCGTTTCAAAGGAAAATGCACTAATCTACGAAGTTACAACTGAGACAGAAAGGTTAAAGAAGTAGCTGGAATATTGAAAGCCACACACTTATCGATTGTAACAAACAAGAAAAACCAAATGTAATTAGACCCTGAAAAACAGAAAGAAATATGGGAGCAATATCTTAAAGATTTGTTTGGTGATCAAAGAACAGAAGCGCCCCCACAAATAGATACAACACAATGTTGCCTCTGCAACATTATATATGAACATGGCATAATACCGCATGACTGGCTAACATCCTCATATATAGCTCTTCCTAAAAAAAAAACAAAAAGCAAGGAAATGTGACGACTTGAACTGTATCCCTAATGAGTAGACTTCGGCAAATATGCATATTGCATATTTTGCATATTCTGCATATTTTATGCAAATATTTCATATTTTGGCATATTTGTATAAAAGTTTGCATAAAGTGCATAAAAGTTCAGATTTTTATACTGTATTTGAAAATTTTTAAACATACCAATTTATTTCAATTCTTGTATAAAATTTTGTAGTCATTTTAATCAAGAAATGATCTAAGTACGTAATCTCTAGAAGTACAAAACATTTACAATTTCAAAGAAGATCAATTTAAGTAGCCCTCAACATTCTTAGAAAGTCTCGGTCACTGAGGCATTCAGTTATTGGATAATCGCTAAGGGTTCGCTCATTTGCATTTTATGATCTAATCCCCAAATCTATCTACAATTTATTGTATCTTAACAGCAGGTAAACGGCTAATAGTTTTGTTCCTAATTTAGGGATTTTCCAAAATCTCCCAGTTTATTGAATTAGGTACCTAAACATTTCTAATTTGATGCTCAGATTTGTAAATCATTTTTGTTTTGATATTCAAAGCGTAAACACTCGTTGTGCGTAACAAAAAGGAAGATTGTGATTTTATAATGCCTAAAACAACCAGTGCTTCAACTTGGATTAAACCTTATAAAGAGCTGTCTATGGATATGGGAAAAATCTACTGTTCAGTCTGTGGCAAAATTGTAAGTATCTAATATTTTCTATTAAATATCTAATATTTTATACATACAGGGCGTTTCCAAATGACACTTACAACGTTTGACTGTAGATACTTCTCGAAAAATTGAACAAAACGATATAGTTAATGAGGGGTCAAACTTATTTACTTTTCGAGATACAGGGTGTTAAAATTAAAAAAAATTAAATTCTTTTAGTTAATAACAACAATAACTTTAAAACCAATAAACGTATTTACTTGAAATTTAGTACTCGTAGGTTGTTTTTAAATGAAAAATAGCTTCCTTTAGTGAGAAAAAATTGTCCATGGTACAATACAATGGTGTGTATTTAGAAAAATTTCTCACCTTTACTTTTTTTTATGAAGTCAGCTATTCTAAAACACAATTATTTTTATTGTAATTGAATTAACAAAAAAAAAAACTTTTGTTGAATTTTAAAATAAGTTATATGATGTACTAATGGTTAGTAACAAAAACTATTTGTGGATTAATACTGTATTTAAAACACTTAGCGAGTGTTTTTTTTCCAAACCAGTTATTTGATTAACCAAAAACACCTTGTATATTTTTATATTTTAAAGGTGGGTTAAAATAAAGGTTTTTATTTTTATTTATAGATAGCATGTGAGAAGAAATTTCAGATAGACCAACATGTGAGAACTGCTTCACACATTGAAAAAAAAAAAAAGGAAAAATAGGAGGAAAAACATCAAACTTCAATGGCTAAATGTTTCCAATCTACTTCAAAAATATTAGATGAGCAAGAAACTTTCTTTCTTTACCGCTTTCAAAATTAGCAAATGTAAATTTTAGTTCGTTTCTAAAAAAATATTGCAAACTTCCAAGTGTTCCAAGTGATCGGTCTCTAAGAAGAAATAATGTGACCGGGCTATACTCGTCGGTGTTAATTAATATTAAGGAAGAAATTGCAGATAATTATTTTTACATATCTGTAGACGAAACCACTGATTCCTCAGGAAAGTATATTGCTCATTTATTGATTGGTGTTCTTAAAGAAGATACCTTACCAAAATCTCATCTTATTTCATGCCAGCAACTTGAGAAAACAAATGCTTTAACAATTTCGCGTTTTATAAAGAAACATTAGCAACTTTTTTCTTCCGACAAACTATTCCTTCTAATAAATTACTGCTTATTTTATCGGATGCTGCTCCTTATATGTGAAAGCAGGACAAAATTTAAAAATATTTTTCCCAGATTTAATACATGTTACTTGTGTAGCGCATGGATTAAACAGAGTTGCAGAGGAAATACGAAGAAAGTTTCCTCTTGTAAATACCATGATATCCAGTGTCAAAAAAGTATTTCTTAAATCTCCTATAAGAATTCAACTTTATAAAGAAATGCTACCTAACATTCCTCTTCCACCACAACCTATTTATAACGCGATGGGGAACATGGTTAGAAGCAGCTAATTTTTATGCAGATCATTTTGTTAAAATAAAGAACATAATTGATACGTTAACATATGAAAGTTTTCAAGAACAAACTTTTCAGAGTAACTTGCTTCAACAAGAACTTTCATTTATAAAATCAAATTTAGTTTTGTTCAAAAAAACAATTACTCAGTTAGAATCACCAAAACTGTCATTGTTCGAAAGTACAGCATTAATAAAAGAATTTGCGTCATGTTGTCGGAAACGTTAGAGGTAATATTGGAAAAGATATTTTAAAAAAATTTGAAGCTACTATGGAAAAAAATAAAGGTTACCATATTCTTTCTGAAATAGTCAGTGTTCTAGCTGGAAATATTTCGGAAACAATTAATTTAGAACCAAATGTTTGGTTAGTTTGAAAAATGCTCCCGTTACAACAGTTGATGTTGAACGAAGTTTTTCCATATATAAATATATGTACTCAGACAGAAGCCACAAGTTTTTGTTAGAAAATTTTGAACACCACTTGGTCATTTATTGTTACCATAATTCTAAATAAGTTTATTCATACTTAAAAATGATGTAGTTACTTAAAATAAATGTAAATCTTAATGAATAGTAGGAAATATTTAGTTATGTACACTTTTTTTTTAATAAAATTGTTACTATTTTACGATTTTTTTATTTATTTGTATGCATATTTTGTAAAATATTTGCATATTTTCGGGTAAACACGTGCATATTTATGCGCATATTTTCTACATTTTTATTTGCATATTTGCCGAAGTCTACTAATGAGTCATGCCGCTAAGATTTTTATGCGAATAATTTATAACCGAATTTACAATAAGTGTGAAGAATACCTGAATCGTTCTCAATATGGTTTTAGAAAGGGTACAGGCACTAGACAAGCAATTATGGGATTGACACTGATGGCAGAAAAATATCTTGAGGTTAAACAACGGCTATATGTGTGCTTTGTCGATTATAGAAAGACCTTCAACCGCATCAAATACGGAAAATTGATTGAGGTGCTAAAAGAAGTAGGGTTGGATGGACACGACATAGCTATCATAAGTGGAACCACAAAGGATGCGTTGGAACAGAGAACGGAAACACCAAGCACATCAACATAGAACGAGAAGTGCGTAAAGGGTACATTTTGTCACCCCCCCCTATTATTTAATGTATATGCCGAACACATAATTAGAGCTTCTCTTGAATATCGCCCTTAAGGTGCTAGAGTCAATGGAATCACCATTAACAATATAAGATATGCCGATGACACCGTAGTATTAGCAGAAACAGAAGACCAACTAAAAATATTATGGGGGGATATTATGCATCCCTGTCGAGCTCTACATTTTAAATTTTCTAGATTTAAAAAGACACATTATTACCTCTTACGTAAGCAGTATTATATATATATATATATATATATATATATATATATATATATATATATATATATATATATATAGTTTTTGTAATAAATAGATTAGATGTTCTGGCGTACCCATTTCTCTAAGTATATGCCATATTTTATCCCATTTTACGACATTCAAGACCTTGGAATAGTCAACAAAGCATAAATATGTTTCTATGTAAACTCTCGAGATTTTTCGATATTTTGACGAATATTAAGAATATGTTCTCTTGTTCCTCTACCTGGGACGAATCCGCATTGTTGGGGAATTTGTGGTAAGGGAATTGATTTAAGTCTCTCATTGATGATGGTTAGAAGCACTTTGCTCGCGTGTGATATCAATGCTATTGTACGATATTTACTGCAATCTATCAGTGAACCTTTTTTATACATAGAAATAAACGTGAGTTTACCCCAGTATTTGGCCACTTTCCGGTATTCCCGATCTCATTGCAAATTGTAAGCATTACTTCTGTACGTAATTCTTCCATTTCTTTGAATGTTTCAGCTGTTATTCCATCTTCTCCTTATGCTTTTCTGAATTTTTTGCTTTTTAATTGCCGCCTCACTTTCTAATTTCAATATTTGAGGTTCTTTTTCATAACTTCTTTTCTCTGTATTATTGTCTGGGTCGTTGTTAAAGAATAGTATTTCGCAATATTGTTTCCACACCTCTGCGATACCGTCTGGGTTCGTTATGGTCTTTCCACTACTCGTATTATCTTTGATGATCTGTGTCTGCGGTTTTTTAATACTCTCGCTAGATACTTGACTTGTGAGAAAAGTTTTCTAGATTCTTGGCGGTTAGCATGTTCCTCTAGTTGAACACATATGTTTTTAATATAATTATTTTTGTCCCTCCTCTACGTGTTTTATAGTTGTCTTTATGGTGCATAGATATTATACCAATACGAAGGCAAATGCTAAGAAAACTATTAAGATATAGTGTGGCTAGTATTCATCCAGATGGCAAACATTTAAAACATTACTTAAAGTGTAAATGCATAAAAATATATAAAAATTATTGAATAAACCAGCAGAATATATAAAAAATAAGAAAATAATGATTAGTTTTTAACTCGATTATTTACTTACAAATATGTGGGTTCCCAAATCCTTCTAACTTTTTCTTGTTTGGAATTAAATTCAGTCACTTGCATCAATTCTTGTACTGCTCTAAATATTGTCCAACATCGATCATTCAATTCGATTTCTACATCAGGAATTCCAGGCATATTTGGACCCTTCAGCAACAACTGCAATTTCGGCTGAGGCAGTAGCTCATGATCTGATATTGAGGGTGTTTCATTTTGACCAGGGGCAGGGACTTCTAAATCTGTAAATAATTTTTCATTTATATATCCGTAAGTTATATTTCTGAGAAAATAAATATTTAGAATATGCATTAAAAAGGAAAGGACTATTATTAATTTACATTAAAACATTTATTTAATATTTCGTCGTGTAGCATGCCATTCTGATGAGAAAAGTTAAAAAAATCTTACATATTTACCTTACAACAAAGTGACCTTAAACCACTAAGCAAAAGTCGTGGATATTTTACTTCCACTCTGCTGAGCGGTGCTGCCAGCTAATTGTTGTTTTTTGCTAACGTATACCCATTTCCATCATGAAAGAACTTTTATATAAAAAATGTATGAACTCATATCGATAATTTGCCTGCACTTTTATGACCAAAGTACATTTTAAATGGTAATTATTGAGTATTTTATATCTAAATGACTTAATAATTTTTTACATGTTTCTCTCTCTAGTTATTTGCATTGGCTTCCTTTTGACAAAGTTGCAAAACAGAAAAAATTGGCGAGTCTTATTCTGTAATGTTCGACCTTTTACATTTTTGTTTTTTTGGACATGTTTCTTGTAATGGCACGACTGTAGTTATAGACAGACATGTTATTATGACTGGCCGTCTCCTCCACCATTTTCTTCTTTGTGGTCGCGGCTTAAATTAGATTTGCTGTATGGTATACATAAAATAAAAATTGTAGGTAAATAATATTGAATGTGCTATGACTATCTGAAATATATATTTTGTTCCTTTTGGGTTAAATATACAGAGTGGCCCAAAAGTCTGGAAACGGCCAATTATCTCGTAAAATGCTAATCATAATTGTACAAAATTTGAGGTACACCTATTTTGGGATACGGAGATTCCATATTTCATATTTACAATGTTGCCAGATTTGCCGCTTTTCTTATATTATTAGCAACTTTGGTTTTTCAAATACATCACCCTGTATATTCAGTCATTATTGGAATCTCCTATTCAATACGTGTTCAACCATATGTAACACTTATGATTTAATGTAATCTGGAAGGTCATAAATATATAAAACCGACGTCTGGCAACGCCTAAATTGTTTCAATAAATTTTTTAATACTAACTATTTTTAAATACATTAAAACGTAACAATTGATAGTTTACAACATTTTTTAACATAGTAGTTACGTTATTAAGTGTTCAAAATGTGCTCAATTTGTGAGTTGACAGCACCCTAATCGATGGTAGAAGGCGTCTACCACATTTCTCCATGATTGTCTAGAAATTATTCGAGATTCATTGATAATTCGTTGCCTTAGCTGCTCTGCAAGACTTGCTGGTTAAGTTTTGTAAATTGAATTTTTCAAGTATCCCTAATAAAAATAATCTTTAGGATTGAAATCGGGTGAACGTGGAGGCCATTCAATTCTACCTTGTCTACCAATTTATCGTCCAGGAAATATCTCATCTAAATATCGCCGAACATTTACACCAACTATCTGACATTAAATTTCTTTCGACAAAAAATGACCCAATTGAATAAGTAACTACTATATCTGACCATACATTTAATTTTTGTGGTCTTTGAGTATGGTTTTCACGCATTCAGTCTTCAGTGTGAATTTACGTCACACCAGTACCTTAAATTGTGTCGATTTACATTTCCACACAGTGTAAAAGTTACTTCATCGGAAAAACATATTCTGTTAACGAAATTTTAATAATTTTCAATTTTATCCATCATTACCTCAGTCAAAGTCATCTTCACTTAATTCTTGCAATAAGTTAATTTTGTATGATTTAAATTTATTTTTACGTAATAAACGTAAGACTGAAGAATGACCTACATCATGTATTTGTGCAATCCTGCCTGGTGATGTATGTGGATCTTCAACAAAACTTTGCTTATATTTGAAGTTTTGTTGTCATTGATAACTCGTTTCGGTCAACCTGATCGGTATATATCTTTTACTTCTCCAAATTCTTCAAATGGCCTTACAGTTTTTTGTACCGTCGTCTTATGAATAGGAGAACGGTTTAGAGAACGGCATTTTAGAGAAGCAATTTAAATTGCAGAACTTTTTGAACCACAACTACTGTCAATTTTAGTTCATAATTTAAATGGTGAACAAATGTCAAAATCACAGCTTTCTCCATTTAAATATTTAAATTTATTAAAATCTACATATTTTGCACTGTTTTATGTATTTAAGATCTTTCAGACTACATAAAATCAAGTGAACATATGGTTGAACTCGTATTGAATAGCTGAACTCGTGTGAAATTCACACTGAATCCGTGAAAACCATACTCAAAGACCACAAAAATTAAATGTATGGTCAGTTATAGTACGTACTTATTTAATTGGGCCATTTTTTATCGAAAGAAATTTAACGTCAGATAGTTGGTGTAAATGTTCGGCGTTATTTAGATGAGATATTTCCCGGACGATAAATTGGTAGACAAGGTAGAATTGAATGGCCTCCACGTTCACCCGATCTCAATCCTAAAGATTATTTTTATTAGAGATTATTGAAAAATTCAGTTTACAAAACTTAACCAGCAAGTCTTGCATAGCTAAGGCAATGAATTATCGATGAATCTCGAATAATTTCTAGACAATCATGGAGAAATGTGGTAGACGCATTCTACCATCGATTAGAGTGCTGTCAACTCACAAATGCAGCACATTTTGAATACTTAATAACTTAACTATTATGTTAAAAAATATTCTAAACTATCAATTGTTACGTTTTAATGTATTTGAAAATAGTATTAAAAAATGTATTGAAACAATTTAGGCGTTGCCAGACTTCTGTTTTATGTATTTAAGACCTTCCAGACTACATAAAATCATAAGTGTTACATATAGTTGAACTCGTATTTAATAGAAGATTCCAATAATGACTGAATATACAGGGTGATGCATTTGAAAAACCAAAGTTACTAGTAATATAAGAGAAACTGAAAATCTGGCAACATTGCAAATACCAAATATGGAATCTCGTATCCCAAAATAGGCGTATCTCAAATTTTGTATAATTATGTCTAGTAATTTACGAGCTAATTAGCCGTTTTCAGACTTTTGGACCACTCTGTATAAATATGTTAATTTAATAATTTTACCTGTAGTCTGATTGACATTGGTCCTTCCTGGTCTGGGATCGAAGGCAGGAATCAAAGCAGAAAACTGCCTCTTTAACACAAATTCATCGTCCCATGATCTTCTCTTTGTAGGTCTAGCTTCAAACGTTTCTTCCTCCATAAATGACAACAGATTTCTCGACACCATCACTTCTTCATAATCGGCGTCATCTTCGTTTTCATCGTCATCGTTGTCATCGTCATCTCCCATTTCTTCGTCGTCGTCGAGTTCGGCAAGTAATGTTGGCGCCCTGCAGGATTCCAAAAAGTCTTCTAAAGATACTTGTTCACTATCACTACTGGTTGACGTTAGGCTCATTGTAAGAGCTTGACTCCACCCTTGCACAGCTCCAGCTGTCGTTGATATACCACCAGTAGTGTTACCTGGATTATTACTGGTAGATAAACTTGGATAGCTCTGAGCAGTACTAAGTAAGCCACTAGGGAAATTGCTGGATAACGCTAGACGGACTAGACTAGACACTGAATTGGGTGCACGTGGAAACAAGGAACTGCTGTTCTGGTTGTTTTGAGCGTTGTTGGCATTCTGAGCATTGTTGGGATTGGTATTGGATGCATTTGAAGATGTTACTGAAGCTAGGGTGCGTCTTCGAGCTAGTGCTGCAAACGTTTCGAGCAGGCCTGAGAAATTCAAGACTAATTTTTAATTAGTGTTGCATGAGAAACCCTATCAATTTAATATAGTCATTTCTAAAATATGGTAAAGAGCATTGATCCAATAATGAAAAAATTATAAAATATTACAATCAAAGTAATCAGATGTAGTTCATGAATTTGTGTTTTGTTAACTATAGGTTACAGATTTAAGGAAAATTTTAAGACTTGATGCCAACGTTGTATAAAAATTGTTTTGTTAACAGAAGAGAATAGATAAATGCTTTATTTTTTTAAATGCATTCCTGCTCTCAACACTTTTCGTGCCTTTCCCTCCATTAACCAACTCGAAACTCACAAACACTGATACTTTTCAATACATTGCTTACTGACAAAATAACAGTTTTGTCATAAGGCCAGGTTCCTCAAAAAACGTGTCTTTTACTATAAATTTTATTTATAGTACAAAAGATATTTAAAAATCAACTAGTTGAACTGGAAAACGAGCTGAATCATATAAAATGGGATATACTTGGATTGTCCGAAGTACGGCGAAAGGGTGAAGAACAAATGGTACTTCCGTCGGGAAACCTATTGCATTATCGAGGAGAGTCTTCCAATGGTGGCGTAGGATTTATGGTAAATAAAAAACACACAAAGAATATACTCACAATTAAAAGCATAAGTGATAGAGTTATATATCTTATCTACAAAGTAAACGAAAAAATTCGGTTAAAGATCATCCAGGTATATGCACCTACTAGTACCCATACAGATGAAGAAGTAGAATGGTTCTACGATGACGTTAACACTGCCATACAAGAGACAAACACCAACTTTACTATACTGATGGGAGACCTAAACGCCAAAATAGGCCACAAGCAAGATGATTCGGAGTTTGTAATTGGACCTCACGGATATGGCGATAGAAACGAAAGGGTCAAACTCTCATAGAATTTCTTCTGCAACACAGGCTATATGTCATGAATACGCACTTTAAAAAAAGCGACCAAAGAAAGTGGACTTGGCAATCACCAAATGGTTTAAACAAGAACGAAATTGATTTTATATTTACTAACAAAAAAGACGCTGTTCAAGACGTAACTGTATTAAATCAATTTTCAACTGGAAGTGACCATAGAATGGTTAGGGCGAAGATAGTCTTAAACATACAGAAGGAAAGAAGACATATGGTAACAAGGACTAATAATGTTACATTCACTGCGATTACTAACACCAGGGCATACCAGGAAGAAATAGAGAGTAATCTACAGAAAGACCTGCAAGATGAAACCAGTATTGAACAGCTTAACGAAAAATTGGTAGAAGCCCTGAAGAAGTCACAGAAGAAGTGCCAAGCCAAGCACTCAACAAAAAATGAAAAACTCACAGAAGACACAAGAAACCTAATGCAAAAAAGAAGGGAAATGAAAGAAAAGCATACAACGAACATTGCAGAGCTAAGGAATTTAAACAAAACCATTTCAAAAGCCATTAGGAAAGACATAAGGAACTTTAACACTAAGGAAATAACTGATACCGTAGAACAAAACAAAAGCCTAAAAGTTCTAAAACGAAAGTTGAAAACAGGAACGAGGAATATTTATAAGTTAAAAAATAATCAAGGACATGTCATACATGAACAACAAGAGATACTAAAAATCATCGAAGAGTACTATAGAACATTATATAGTCGAGATGATCACATTCCCGAAGTAGAAATTCCAGCAATACTAAATCAAGGGTCAGAGGAACTTCCAGATATAACCGAAGAGGAAATTAAGTCAGCATTAAAAGGTATGAAGAACAACAAAACACCTGGAGAAGATGGCATTGTAAGTGAAATGATAAAACTAGGAGGCGAATGCGTCATAAAGGCTTTAAAAACCCTTTATAATGCCTGCCTCTTTGAAGGAAATACGCCAGAAAAATGGAATAATGCCATTATGATAATATTGCATAAAAAAGGAGATGTAACAGAAATTGGCAACTACAGACCTATCAACTTATTATCTCATTTATATAAACTCTTTATGAGAATAATTACTAACAGACTGGGACCTAAGCTAGATTTTCATCAACCTCTAGAGCAGGCCGGATTTAGGAGTGGCTTTGGAACAAATGACCACCTACAAGTAATAAAATCCTTGATAGAGAAAGTTATAGAATACAACAAGCCATTGATATTAATATTTGTAGACTTTGAGAAAGCATTTGACTCAGTCCAGCATAGCTCCATGTTAAGAGCTCTTACAGAGTGCAGTATTGACCATAGGTACACAACTCTTCTTCGAAATATATATGATAGCGCAACAGCTGCTGTAAAAATGTACTATGGTGACACAGACACATTTCCCTTGGAGAAAGGTATTAGGCAAGGAGACACTATCTCTCCTAAACTATTCACCGCCCTATTACAGAGTGCTATGAGAAAAAATAATTGGGAAAATATTGGATTAAATATAAATGGGGAATTTTTGAACAACTTGAGGTTTGCAGACGACATAGTCCTTATTGCAGATCAGGTAGATCATGCATGCCAACTTCTTCAAGACCTTCAGAGCTCTTGTGCACGAGTTGGCCTTAAAATTAATTTTTCCAAAACACAATACATGACCAACCTGGTACTGGCAAAAAACATTTCCACTAATGGCACGCAAATTGAACAAGTGTATTCCTATAAGTATCTGGGCCACGAGATTAAATTGGGAAGAGACAATCAAACAACAGAGTTAAAAAGGAGAATAGGACTGGCATGGGCAGCTTACGGAAAACTGAGGGAAGTCTTTAAATCAGCTATTCCCATGTGCTTGAAGAGAAAAGTTTTTGATCAGTGTGTACTTCCAGTTCTGACATATGGAGCAGAAACATTGACACTTACCAGAAAAGTAATTAATAAGATACAAGTGGCACAGAGAGCGATGGAGAGGTCAATGTTGGGCGTATCACTCAGGGACAGAGTTTCGAGTCAGATAGTAAGGAGAAAAACTGGTGTGACGGACGCAGTTGAAAGAATTACAACCCTGAAATGGAACTGGGCAGGACATGTTGCTAGGGTCAGAGATGGAAGATGGACAAAGAAAATTTTAGAGTGGAGGCCTAGACACGATGCTTATCGTAGTCGAGGACGTCCTCCAACAAGGTGGTCGGACGATTTAAAGCGCATCCAGTCTAACTGGATTCAAGTTGCTCAAGATTTATGTCAGATAAGTCTCTTATATATAATGAAATAAGGCTTTTTTTAGAGTTATTTGATTTTAAGTTATGTAATGAAATAAATTCAAAAATTAAGCAAAGGGAATATCTTGGACATCCGTGCAAAAGAGAGTGTCTGAGAGTTTTGGCAACACTGATCTCCATAAGCGTAATGTTATTTTCTTAACTTGAAACAAAGAATATAATGAAACATTTTCACTGAAAAAAACCAAATAGCGATTTTTTGAATTTTTCGACCCATTTAATTGATTATAAATTTTTTAAATAACAATCAATATTTTTGATTGCAGTACCGACCATCGAGAGACATTTAAAGAGTGAAATGCTGTTGGTTTATCTTGATAAGAGCAATCGCTTCGAAATACGAGTGAAACAGTTGAAAAAACACACGGCTCGCTTGAGTGGCCGGATTATCCGATTGTCATTCTCCGATCACCCCTCTCCGGGACCAATTCTATATTATTTCTACCAATTTTTGAAAAAAAAAAAACGATTTTTTGAAAATTCTTTAGACGAACCTGGTTTTAAATAATTCATTTCGATTTGGTTAAACCAGTCATTTTATTTTTGTACTGCTCTTTCAGTTAATTTAGCGGAAAAAATTGTAAAAAGAATACGTCATTGACAAACTAAGAACTTGTAGATAATGTGTCCACCTGGCCAATACTTTGAAAAGAGAACACTCCTTCCTACGCTATTCTATATCCTAAGTTCCGACGTTATTGTTGATTTTCTGTGTGTAATTACAATTGCGATTAAAATTCATGGCAAAATGAGGAAGCATAGGTTAAGATGGTTCGGGCACATTCAACGTCGAGTCGCTAATCACCCAATACAATCAGGATATCTCGGAAAAGGGAAGTGATATTAATTACCCGAGATAGAAACTTATGGGGAAATGTAATTAGGGAAGCCGACCCTTGCATTGGTATAAAGGCAAATATAATGATTATATATGTATCTTAGCTACCTCTATACTTCAGTCATCAGAGACAAAAATGCCACTTAACCTCTAAAAATCATACGAACAAACTGAATTTTGCTAAGAATGTCAATTTTGCGACCCCAAAGAATACACAAAAAGTTTACCACTTCCCCCTAAAACACCCTATCTAAAAATTTTAGAGACTTATAAAATGAAAAAAATCCTCCAAACACTTCAGTTTTTCGGATAAGTTTTTTCATAAGGAAAAATCTGAAAAAATCAGAGATATAATTTTTGATCATATTCACATAAAAATTAAACCTGCAGCCACCTTCAAAAAAAGTTATACGCTTATTTTGAAAAACAAAAAATGCATTTTTAGGTTATTTACACACAACCTACGAGTCTATAAAAAATAGGACAAGTTTTGTAAAAGCCTCAACTATGAATAATTGTTCTTTAGTTGTGCCAATAGCTAATAGTTAAAAAATTCTTCCAGGGAAAAGATCCATAGAAAGACGAAGAATTTCCTGGCTGAGAAAACTAAGAGAGTGGTATAGTTGCAGCTCAGTAGATCTTTTTAGAGCAGCCGCCAATAAGGTACGGATAGCTGTGATGATAGCCAACCTCCAATAGGAGAAGGAACTACAAGAAGAAGACCAGGGAAAAACGCTTATACAAGTAAATCCCGTGTAGGTACCCAGCATTTTCTAACGTGTCGTTTCTCTTCCAGCATAAAATTTCTTTTCTCATACTTGAATCTTTTTGTGTCATAAGATAATTATGCTTTTAAGAAAGTCAACATACATAGCAAATAGTTAAAATCAGCGAAATCAGCAAGACCACCAAAACTGGTAAACCATGAATGTACATCTGCTAAGTAGTAAGCAGGCCTTTGTAAACTGTGAGAACGATTTTAAAGAATACCAAATTGAGTAAATAGTATATACATAAACTGAAATCATTACTAAATTTTTAAGTTACTTCTAACTTCGGCAAGATTATCCCAATATATGATCTGTCATGTATATTTAAGTCATTATATAATTTATCTTAGTTTAAAAATCACCTCTAGCAGAAAATTAGGTATATATAGTATATATATATATATATATATATATATATATATATATATATAATAAAATACAAATAAATTATAATAAACTGCAAAATCATCATAAATACCTGCTGTTGTTGTCGGTTCTATTTGACTATTGGACTCTGTAGTTAAGTTCGGAACACTAACACTCATTGGATTCACGACAATCGTATTATTACTACTGTTTTTAGCATTATTAGTATTTGTCACAGCCTCATCTTTATCACTACTACAATTGCCGCCCTTGACAGAATCAGTTTTTCGTCTTAGCGGTTTTTCGTCCTCAGTTTCCGAATTACCCGACACAGAGATACGCACACTCGACAACGGATTTATTTGACTGCTTTGCCCGAGATTTAACGCTGATTGCAGGAGTTCTGCAGACAAAAAGTTATTGGTATTATTTCTGAGCATATCAGCACCTTCGCGGAATTTGTCTAAAGCTTCAACGGCTTCTACAAAACTTTGAGCTGCGGCGGCAGCTTGGGAATTACTAATTTTTGAAGTCCGGTTGGATTTGTTAATATTCAATGTAGAATTGCTGTTTGTCGTTGACTTTTGAGAATCACTCGCTGAAACAGGACCAGCGTCGCATAAAGCCAAACTTTCTACTATTGTCGCCAAATCTGTTGAGTTATTTATGGTAGAGAGATCGTTATGGGGGTCTCGTAACGGGTGTACCACTACGGACAGTTCACTTTCATTCGAAAGAGCTTGAGATTCACTTGTTACAGCTACAAGTGCTTCATTTCGAGCAACCGATAACACACTCTCGGCAATAGTTTCCGCAGCTTGTTTTGCTGCTAAATTATCGGCCGAAGCAGCTTGTTCCGTACTAGCAACTGAAGTTTTAGCATCTGTAGCTTCCGGTAAACTAGGCGTTGAACTACTTTTTCTACTAGTCAGCACGCTCTGTTTATCTTTATCGTTTTTCTGTTTATTGGTGGAACATTGTTTCGATGAAGAAGCCATGGCTGTTTCCACATCGTATCCTGGAGCTAGTTTCAGATCATATTTACCTTCAGCACCCATGCGGTACGAATTTGATCCACCATGATCCCAAGTGACATCGATCCACCCACTGTGAAGTTCTCCCGTAACAGTACCTGAACAGAAAACAAAAATAGGTTATAATTTTATTAAACAAGAGGTATTTTTCTATCAAGCAAACATCGTGCTAGAAAGATCCAGAACATACACAGAATTAGATTATTAGTCCGGATTCAGACCAAGTTAACTATAAAACGGATAATAAAAATGCTTCAGTTTGATCGGAGCTTCATTAAGCTATGGTTTGTTAGAACAGTGAGCGACGCATAATTCACAGTCGTTCGAACGCCGCGCACGTTCGTCAAAATTAAAGAAATGGTTCTCTATGATAACGGTTTGTTAGGTTCTGCTGAGCTGCGCGCACTGCAGACCGATAGCCGTGTACGTCGACGGTGTGCGCTGAACTGCGATTTGATTTGGACGCAAACGTTCAGCTGAGCTGACAGCGTACACCTCTATACCGAAATTATAATTGTATTTTTATTTAGTTATTTATATTGTAAAAATTAAGTGATGTCTAATAAATTTTCTCCCGATGAAGATGAAAGACTAGTATATCTAGTACAAATTGTAAGGCAGTTCCAAATAAATCCTTGGAAAGTCTAAAATATTCTCGAAATTTTTCCTCGTTTTGAAACAATCTTTCTTTGACTGTTAATTTAAAAACACCTTCTGTATTAAGACAAAATTTCGTTTACATTTTTATTTCTTTTATTTAAATTTAACGTTTTCAACTCTTCTTCTTCCTCCTCTTCTTAGAGTAATAAAATTATTGCATTAAGTTTGCGAGAATTCATTTTTTTAAACGTACAATCTTTGAGAGAATAAAGTGAAACTAATTTCTAAACTTGTTTTCATAGCGACAGAATATTTATGCGAAATAATCTAACACCCAAAACTGCCGTGAATTGAGTACACCAGATTCTGCTGTGCGCTGCGCACTGTTCTAACAAACCGTAGCTTTAGATGTACATAGATAAAACAGGAATTAGATAGAGTATACAGAATCAGATTGTGGACAACGATGCAAGAACTTGACATTCCAAAAAAAGGAATAAATTTGATATGGATGTGTACGGAAGGGATACGATTTAAGGCGAGATTTGGACAATACTCTGAGATATGGACATGGACAATAGCAAAGGCAAACGAAGAGAGACTTATTATTTGAGAAAGGAAATTGCGCCTGCGCTTGATGAAGCAACGGTACAGTATAAGATAAGAACTAACAAAGAGCTGGAAGTCCTATACGCACACGCCACCATAATAAAAGAAATTAAGTCCAAAAAACTCCAGTGGACAGGACAACTCAGAAAAGCTTCTGACAATAGAATAGTACGAGGTATGGGAGGAAGTTTTAACTGGAGAAGCACCACGAGACGACCTCGAGATAATATTGAAAGAGAGCTTAAAGCTATGGACGTAGAGAATTGGATGGAGATTGCACAAAGCAGAAAGGGATTTAGGCATGTTGTCAAGTCGGACAAAACCCACGCAGTAACCCCACGGAGTAGCTAAGTAAGTAAGTATTTAGACATTATAATATCGAAAAAATACAAGAAATAAAACATCGGAACGATTCTGTTAAGATGCATACTTCTTTTTGGAACGTCAGTAGATAAAAAGGTTATCGGCCAATGACAGGTATATTTGTAGCTGACAACTCAATATCCAAGGAAAAATGGAATAAATACATACAACCTTAACAATAAAAACTTATATAAAAATAAAACACTAAAAACTTTGGTTTTTAAAACTTCCACAAATTTTTTTATAAATTCTTATCACTACATATGTTTCGGCAGCGTGCCTTTTTCTCAAGTGCAACTGCCGAAACAGCTGCAGTGATAAGAATTTATAATAAATTTAGTGGAAGTTTTGAAAGCAAAAGTTTTCAATGTTTTATTACCATATAAAATGAACTTCTATCAAGTAACGATCAAATCCATCACTTAATAAAAACATACCTTCAGCTGGAGGATTGCCGTCCTGATCTCTCCATTTCCAATCAACACCTCTAACTACTCGTGCTCCAACTGTCATATGTTTAAGCAATTGCGACTTAACCAAACGCCGTTGCTTCCTCAAATGCGCTTCTTGTTCTTTATGTGCTTTGCCCATATCTTCACAAACACTTGTTACTTGTCCATAGATTTCGAAACCGGACAAACTTAGATAGTGGGTCTGACCTGAAGCATTTTTACCCGCCTGCTGTATTCTAACGTGTCTCCAACCTTGAACTTCTTCTTGTGGAACTTCTATTGGCCAAGTACCAGTACTGCCAGGATCATTTAATGACATATCGTGCGTATGAGTATATAGTGTGGTCCAAGTATTACCGTCTCTGGACATCTGGAAATGCCAATTTCTCAAGGCAGATCTTCCGTAACCTCTGGCATGACGTAAAGTGTAAGCTGTCGGAATTATATATACTCCTAGATCAATGCTGAACCATGCACGTTTGTCATCGTTGGTATGACAGTTAAGTGCAGATGTATCTCTAGATAATATATCTTCTACCCTTCCATAGGGTAGATTTCTGGCATCTGAACTAGTAACAGTTACTAAACCATATTGTCCTGGATTTACCCATTCAGAGCTCGTTTTGCCATTAGTACCTATGAAGTATATTAAACCGTTCTCATCAAAATCATGCGTGTGCTTGAAAACTTGATATTTTGATTCTTTCAACTTTTTGAGAAATTGAAAAGTGCTGCGGTCATAATCGTACCATTGCTTTGCCACCATTTTCAGTAGGTACCTTTCTAGTTGAGATACTGTTGCCAAAGGTTCCATTTTTAAACTCCTTCCTGATCGGTCTATTAAAGTACTGTCACCGGCAGCTTTTTCCAATCTAAATCTCAGTCTTCTTGTTAAGATTTGAAGACCATACCCAGTTCCAGGTGTATCATACAAATATACAGGTAATTTTTCTATACTCTCAAGGACAGATATTAATTTATGGACTAGTATTAAAATAGGAGATTTGTCTTCATTCGACTTATTTCTAAAACATTGTTTAAATACCTGCACTCTCTGTTTTTGGAACTTGCTCATTTTGCTTGATTTTAAACCTTGTTCCCAATAACTGGTTGAAAGGAGGGACAATAATGCTTGCACTAAGCCAGAACTGTGTAATTCATACGCCGATACCACTCCATCCTCCTTAAGAATTTCTGTTAATTCTTCTAACGCATTGTGAAGGATTTCCTTCCAAGAGTTGCCTCCTTCGCGGTTGTTGCCATATGAACATTGTTTTTGACAAGCGCGTTCGATATGAGCAACAATATTTCCTAGTTTAGCCACAATACCTCTGGGTTGAGCTTGGGCTACTCTGAAGTATTGTTCGTAGATTTGATGAGCCAAATACTTTACTTTCATTTTTGTGGCTTCTAATTTTGAGCGAAGGCGTTTTCCTTTCTTATTTGTCCAACCGGCTGAAAATTCGGGACCTAAAAAACAAAAAATAAAAAATAGGTTAGCAATAGAAATGCAAAATATAAATCAGCTACCAGATATAGCAATAAAATCTGGATGTACCGGTTTACATATTACCGATGTTTTAATACAAATACTATTACCTAAATATGTTTCAGCGATGAAGGAATGTTTTGTTCCTCTGTTAGATTCAAAAATAAAGCCAGGCAGGTCTTCCCTTAAAATGGTTGTTTGTTGTTGTCCATCTGAGTTATGAATGTGAATTTCAGCATCTTTTCTTGATGTCAATGACCAGTTTCCTACTACTAATCGTGTGGTACCAGGCTTTGATAGTAACGGCGTAGAATTATTGACGCATCTAACTGCTGAACGCGCCCTCTGCAATTTTTCTAGGAACTCACCTCGATTTTCTGAAGAATAAAGTATCACGTGTTACACATAAATTGAGGCAATATTATTAATTAATATAAATTGCAATGTTAAATATGTGTTAATTAAGGCTATACTTGGAAAATATTTGCATGTATTTAATGTTAGTAAATTTTACTTTTTACGGCAGAAATATCGCTAACATTTTAAACGGTGTAAATAATTAAAACCGATTTTTCTTTTTCAAATGCTTTCTTTTTGAAAAGTTTTATTTTTCAATTATGTTAAAAAGTTATTAAGAAGATCCTTAAATTTCGTATACGTTTTTCTGATCTTTTTTGGTTTTAAAAAATCTTTCCACTTATTCATTTATTTTTAAAAAGTCCCATCGATTTCAATATCTATTCATAGTGTCCAATTCAAGTTTTGGTTTTGAACATTATTTATAACTCTTATTTAGTGTTTAATATTTCCATATCGTCTTATTTGGTCCACTCAAGAAGTTATAATAGGTTAGTCCATCGAGCAAAAAGACAAAAGAGGAAATCTAATCCTTATGAAAAGGAGACCAAAAAAGTGGCCTCTGATGGCAGACATATCCGGAAATGCGAATGCGCCAAATTTAAATTTTCCAACACTTCCAACTCCAACTTCCATCCTTTACTTCCAACAGTAGCTATAAAATATTTTTCAGAATGTGTCTTAGACAAGAAAGTTTTAATTAAATATTAACGATAATAGTCTAAAATGCGACACAACTGTTAAAAAACTTCAATATAAATAAGATTTCATGTGACAGTTGGGGCAAGCAATAACATAACCTAACTAAATTTGATGTCTTAAACAAGGAAAGAGATAATCCTTCCTTGTTTAATGTAGCCTCTCAAGATGACACTTCCTGTCTAACAATATTTTTGCCTCCACTACCTTTACATTCCCTCTTTTGTCTTTTTACTCGATGGGTTGTTAGTCTAACAAGTTTTTTTTATCAAAAGTGACGATTTTATTAAGAGGAATATATTCTTAATACTGCCATAAATATTGATACAAGTGTAAACGCAGCTTGTACGACTGACAAAATGAACGCAGCCAAAAGTTATGTTGACGTTACTGACTATTGACATGTACACTATAAATCGTATTGCTGTTAGTGCTCTTCATAAGTGCGGAATAGAAAAAGTTCGTTTTTTAAAATTACAAATCCGGTATTAAGTTGTTTTTGGATAAAAGAGGAGTAAGTGATCGTAAAGCCGGGCGCGCTTTGGCTCGTATGCCACAAAAGGGCGTTAAAAAAGCGGAAATTATTAACAAATTAAGTGGAGACCCTAAACCACACTAGGGATATTACACCACACTCCTAAATAGGATATTTTAACAGGACTCAGCGCATAAGGCCAAAGTTACTCAACAGTGGCTTGAAAATCATGTACTCATCTTTGAAGAAGACATTAGAAAAGTTTTAAATGAAGTTCCGAATACTATCGAAATAAGATGTGGAAACTTTAACGCTACAGTAGGGAAACAAGCTTGTAGTAAACTGGTCGGAATGTATAAATATGTGCTAACAGTACGACTTTTCACAGTTGTGGGAGGAAACGACAAATTTGAAAGTAAATCCAGTTCTTACTAATGCTAATCCAAAATATTATGATGAATATTAAAGCAAGAAATAAAATATGAATAGAAATTACCTCTCCCTTTAAAACAACTAAAGGTTTGAGACAAGGATGTAGTTTATCACTCGTCCTATTTGAGAGTTATCTAGACAGATCCCTACAGAAATGAGTGATTCAGTGCCTAACCATGGGAATAATGGTAGAAAAACGGAATCTTTTTACACTCTTCTTTGCTGATGATCAACGAGTGACCGCGGGAGATTAAGACGATCTGAGAAATAAATTAAAAGAATAATAAAGCGGCGGGCGTAAAATCAATACGGCAAAATGCGAATATCCAATAGGGGGCAATGACGAGACACCCGAATTAGATGTAGAAAATGAAACAAAAAACAAGGGTTTAAAAATCCTGTAATTATTTAGTGGTAATTTTCAATAAGAAAGGGAATACGAGCGTTAAACTCTTCTATCTAACAAAATTCAATCAAAAAAGTAACAAAAATACATATATATATATATATATATATATATATATATATATATATATATATATATATACATATATATATAAATACATATATATATATATATATATATAAATATATATATATATAAATACATATATATATATATATATATATATATATATATATATATATATATATATACATATATATATAAATACATATATATATATATATAAATATATATATATATAAATACATATATATATATATATATATATATATATATATATATATATATATATATATATATATACAGTGTTGTATAAGAAACATGAATTTCTTGTTGTCGGCTGTATAATATAAATCATAAAAAAATTAATCAAAAAATCCTTTATAAAAGGTATATTTATTTAAAAGAAACCTTTCGGGCTACATCACAGAACGTTTTCGGAACGACTATTCCATCATCGGTGATTTTACTAGACATAGATGTGCGAAGCCACTAAATATCACTGGTAAAAACCCTTTAAATATTAAATTATTTGATTAAGTTAGTTGATTAAATTAGTTTTAAATTACATTGTTACTGATATTTGATGACAATCGAGAGCCAGATGGTTTTAGAACGCATGGTACGAAGCTTGAGGGGATGAGACTGGGACAAGCGCGGCGTTACTACCTCAGTAATAGTAGCAGTGTGCCATTTCAGTAAACATGGAGCAGTGGACGGTAGAACATCGCACGTTTGCATACCATACGGTTATACGAAATCAAGAATCAGTGATCACTACGCAGCAGCTTTTTCGCACTCACTTTAATATTGGGAGGCGTGGAGCGGTTCCATCTAGCAACACAATCTTAAGATGGATAAAGAATGTTAGAATAACAGGCAGTGTCATGAAAAAAAAGCAACAAGGTCCGAATAGAACAGTAAGAATTTCTGAAAACATACAGCGAGTGAGAGATCTCGTCGTCAGAAGCCCTACACAGTCCGCCCGAAAACATACAATTGAGCTAAACATTAATCGGAAATCGTTTAGAAAAATACAAATTGTAGATTTGGAGGATAACTTAGGTCAGCATCTTCTAATGAGCGGGGAAGCTCATTTCCATTTGGACCGTTATTAAAGAGAATTACAGGTACTGGGCTCCTAAAAACCCACGAAATCTCTACGAGCGTTCTTTACATTCTCAAAAAGTCACAGTGTGGTGTGCCATTGGTCCGACTGACCATATTTTTTCGAAGAGACTGAACGTACCGTCACCGTTAATTCTATTCGCTACGTTGACATGATCTAACATTTTTTGGTTCCAGAACTACGCAGAAAAGGGATAAACACAAGGAATGTGTGGTTTCAGCAGGACGGTGTCACGGCATATACTGCCCATGTTTCAATGAATATTCTCCGCAATCTGTTCCCAGGACAATTCATTTCACGCTTCGGAGACTTGCTGTGGCCTCCAAGGTCTCCCAACCTGTCAACTTGTGATTTTTTTTTATTCATTTATGCGGGTATTTAAATCCTGCGGGTGTTATGGAGGATTCCATAAAGTGGATCGAAAACTGCATCCAACGTGATTGTCAACATCTTGATGACATTATTTTCCATACTTGATTAGAGTAAATGGCATAATATAAGCTTCATTTTGATGTTAATAAAATAGTATTTTCTTGCAAAAATCGTCCTACTATTGCCAATTGTCACCCTGTATTATAGGATGTATAAGTTTTAAACGGAATTTACTTACTGGCCATGTAACACTCCCAAAATGCGGTTACTGGTCCTTAGATGTAGTCTCTATAAGGACTTTTAGGTAGCAACTGATCAAAATGACATTTTAGGACGGACGCCTGCCTATTTACGACTATGTCTCAGCGCCAGCAACCTTAGTTTGGGAGTCTTACGTTGCCATGAAACAATATATTTTCTCGTTGCAGCATCATGATAATTTGCTAAAGAAAAAACAAAACAAACGGTGAATATAATCGAATCATCATCATAATAAATTGCTAACCTGGTAGGTATTTATTTAATTTGAAGTGGTGTTTTTAATGTTTGTTTGAACATTTACTTCTTGTTTTTCAACTATAAAACAGGATGTTCACTCCTTATTATGATTTTATGTTTTTAATAATCTTTTTTTCATTATTGTACGGTAAACACGATAAAATATTGAATATCATTAGGCAGAATATCAAGAAGGCCGAGAATAAGATGGTGGAAATATGTAGGAGGGAAGTGTAGAACTATGGAGAGATGAAATATGTAAAGAAAAATTACGATTAAGTGATCCCTTACACAAAAAGAATATTTGAATAAAAACAGCTTCCACGTGGTCTTACCACTTGCTAGTATGTATATTCTTTGTGTTTTAATCATATTCATACTTGCTATGGTTTAAAAAAATTAAACTCAACCTTTGTATATAAATATTTTTTAGACTATGTAATCCAAGTAAAAAATCGAACATCCAATTTACTGTTCAAATTTTAATCTTAACGACATTTCTGTTAATGAAACTGTTTTCCAAAGCTTATCAGTATAGCTATTATGGCACAATTAATACATTTCAAATTACTGATATATTAGATTTTCTAAAACCATCCATTCGTATAAACAAATAACAAAAGTTCAGCAAGCTTTTACACAGAAAATAGATCAAATTAAACAGTAAAAGCAAAGCTCGTACAAAGAAGCAAACTAATAATAAAGTAGAAATAATAAAAAATAGCCCTCTTACCTTCAGTTGTAAGGGAATCAGCTGCTCGACCTTTCCCTATAATTCGGACAAACAAATCAACATCACGTTACCACATTGCAAATACTCAAAAAAAAAGAAAAACATAAAATTACTAGCTTTAATGGAGATATCAAAAAACTAAACCAATGTTTCCAAAACAGTGTTTAAGTAAAAATATATTATCTTATGTTTTATTAATTTTATGATCATTGGGGATTAATGTACCATCTAGTTTTGATATAAATTAGTAAATAAAACATTGCATATAACTCGTTTGTAGCTTTAATAATAAATCCAACTTTTTAGATCTATGACATTATTTCTTCCAATATATTTCAACATAATATCGTATTTTTCACGGAGAGACCCGTTTGGATTGTTCCAGCGCCAATTGCTCGAACTCGAGCACTCTGGCTTAGAAGGAGAAGGCTAGTATATATATATATATATATATATATATATATATATATATATATATATATATATTTTATATATTATATTATAATATATTGGCCGCTGAGCTACAGCTGCCACGAATTTGCATAGTTACCAATAAAATTATATTAAATTGTCGTACAGGTTGTTTGTAATTTGGAGTTTCAATACAGTACAATATTTTGTATAATTAATATGTTAGACTACTTACAAAATATCATGAACCTGACTCACTTATTTGGTGACGTCAATCTACGAACGAAACTGGTTTTTATTTTTGTCTTATTGTCTAGGTGCTTCGAATGTGGGTACATTTGTTAATTAGTCTAGTGTTAAAATTAAGTACTTTGAGCCACTCGGTGTAATTGATAGACATTTAGAGTGATTAAATTCTATATTTGTACCACTGAATTTTCTTTGGAAATGAGTGGTATTTTTGGTGGCAGCCTTTGAATCTAGCAAGGGTACTTCATCTTGACGGTCGTTTCTGGAATTTAGTGCGAAGTGAAACATAGTTTATCAGGTACATGGTTTTATTTATATCACCCTTGTTGGGGATATCGGCCTGAACTTATGGTTATAGAACTTGGACATATTGAAGTGTTATTGTAGGCGTATTTTGTGTACTTGTAAAGTGCACACATTATACAGTACATATTTCCAAGATAATTAAAAACAACTAAATTGAGCTTTATTTGCAAATACTTTTTGGTTTTCGGTTTGCTTTATTTTTTTACGTTTTACAGCGTTGATGCCTGAGCACACGTGACGCTTATAATTCCCCGCTTAATTTTGAGGACTAGAAGCCCTATTTGGTTCTGCGCATCTAGTTACTTTGTAGGTAGGTTATCCTATGGTTGTGAAGTGGTAATACATTTGTTACTTTACAATACTTTACTATACGGCATGGAAATGTGGACAATAAAACAGTCTGAAAACAAAAAATTTAACTCCTTTGAGATGTGTTGCTACAGGAGAATCCACAGAATATCGTGGACTGAAAAAGTAATTAATATAGAGGTCTTACAAAGAATGAAGAAAGAATGTGAAGTCATAAAAACTGTTAAAATTAGAAAGATTCGGTACCTGAGTCATATAATGAGGGGCGAGAAGTACGTATTACTTAGGTTAATTATGCAAGGGAAGAGAAACCCAGGACGACGCAAAATATCCTGGCTAAGAAATTTGAGAGTTCGGTTGCAGCTTATTAGAATTATTCAGAAGCGCGGTCAATAAAATTAAAATAGCGATGATGATTTCCAACCTCCGAGAGGAGAAGGAACCTGAAGAAGAATATATATGTTTTCTATTAATTATTTCATATTTATTTAGAGACGGTATTTACTTTCCTTTACTTATGATTTATATAATATAGTTGTAATCGTGAAGTATTGTTTAATTTCCCCTGTTTCATATACCATTGACTAGTGTACCCGAATTTAGCCATACGCATCACATTCTCTATAAGGGGAAAATTCACTCATTCCAGATACCTAGGGTATCAAAAGGATTGAGCTCTAGTGTGACTCTTACCGTGTTATCGAGCCCTAGGTGACTTGTTGCTGGAGTATCTCCCAAAAATTTTCGTACACATCTGGACGGGTGGTCGCGAGGAGTACAGCTTTCTGCATGGCCTTATAAGAGATGTTCATTTAGACCCAGCTGTTTTATTTTCTCTAGGAGATTTTTGGGAATAATGTCAGTAGTAGATAGAAAAACAGGTACTGTCTGGGTATTTTCCATTCTCCATTGTCTCCTGATTTGTTTTTCTAGATCTCTGAACTGGCGATCTTTTCTTTGTATTTATCACGCAAATTATTGGTGTTCAGTATCGCCACATCAATAAGTGTTCTTTGCCTAGTAAGTTCATTAACTAGGATGAGATTCGGTCTATTTTGTGCCACTGGTTGGTCTGTGAGAAAAGTGCGGTTCGAGTATAGCTTGTAGTTGTCATTTTTAAGCATTCTGTCAAGGACATATTCATAATAAGGAAGATGGTCGGTTTGGAAAAGTCCCAGTTTGTCAGCTAGTTCTTGATACTAAGTCATGGTGTTCTGTATAATCAGTACCGATAAACGCCTGGCACTTCCGGTAAGATGTTGGATAGTTTCTTGAGTTGGCATCCATATCGGCATTTGCCATTTTGGACTTGAGGATCTTTAACAATATATTTCAGGTAATTTTTAGTTGAAATAACCTGATCCTGAATGACAAGTAGGAAACCCTCAGTCTCGGGAAACATCTTTCCTGATGTCAATCCATAGGTCGACGCTGTATTGTCGACACATTCTTGGCTGATCTCATTGAGATGTTGCCCATGCAGAGGTTTACTCATCCAGGTACGAATTTTTTCTTGCTAAGTCAGATGGTTTATCCGTATTTCTTGTTCCCTTATAAGCGGTGTTGTATCATCTACTGCGGAAATTGATCGATGTAAAGTAGGGACTCTTTCCATGTTGTTCTGAAGCTATTTTATTGTGGCATTTTAAATTAATTACTGTTTAACTAGGAATAAGCCACAATTAAAGATAAAATACGTTTATTGACGTTTCAATTTCCACTTCGGAAATCGTTCTCAAAATACAAACTGTTTGTATTTTGTTATAGATCGTAGTCAATGATTCATTTTTTTGGGTATGAGTATTTCCAAGGTTCATGAGATTTTGGACCACCTTTATCTGACGATATAACGGGATACTGATCTGATTTCAACAGATAAAGCCAGTGTTGAAATTATTGAACCATAAATTTCTCATGTTTAATCATTAAATTAAGCATATTCTAGCAATAAATCAAGAACGTGTATTGTGAAAACACGAACAACTGGAATTATAGAACTTATGATGCATTATACTCCATTATTGACGGGTAGACGGTTTGTCTGATACTCAATAGTTAAAGTTCTAACATGGATAAAAAAACGTACGAAAGAAAACCTTCTTTTTATATCAAAACTAGATGATCATTTTGCCTATTTAAAATCTGACGAAAATATTTCAATGTAACTCCATATTAAAAATTTTCATCATTTAAAAACAAAAGTAGAGTTTTTTGCTTTTCATCTCTTATGGTTGCATTATCGTTGTTGGGTTAAATTTTTAAATTTAGATATTAAAATTTATGTCAATTTTAAATGGTTTCAAGTTTCAAGATCAATATCTTTTAAAATGTTATAAGTTAATATCAATATTTACAAAAAATTTCACGTTAGTTCAACACTGATTAAAAATACTATTAGTTTTAGCGTTGGAATTACCATTACCTTGTTCACTGTATAATTGAATATCGCAAACGTGTCACTATTATAACAAGGAAAGCAAAAACAAAACTAGTTAAAGCAAAACCGAAAATAACAAGCATGAAATGTATTAAGTATTTAGATTAACAAATCAAAAAATACATATTTAATTCAACCAAAAGGGAAAATGGACAGTCAAACTATAATATGCGAGAATTGCCTTTGTAAACTGGAAATGTTGTTTCTATGTAAATATAATTAAAACAAAGAGTTATCAATTTTATCTGGACAACTAGATTAATTTATCAAAAGTATAAAATTTAATAACCAAATCTTCTTAATTGAAATAGTACAAATTGTCACTAACACGCTTCATTACATCGCCATCTAGCTCAAAATAATTCTGACATTGATTGTCTCACTAATCCGATCACTTCTATTTGTTGCCTCGACAACCTCAAAGACGAACTTTCGTATTTTCAAGACAACCTTATCTCGAACGGTTACGATAGTCTACAATCCAAAAGATAATTTATCTAGACTTAAATAGCCAGAACTCGTGGCGAAAAGACCCGAGGAGATGGTTTGACCGCTCATCCACAGAAATCTTTCGTGCAGCAGTCTTCAAAGCTACAATTGCCATTTGGATCGCCAACCTTCGAAAGGAGAAGGCGCAATAAAAAGAAGAAACAAATCTTCCTACATATCCACATATTTTGAACTCGGATGCTATTCTGAGTCTGTCGTCTACCTTCGGTATATTCGCTCCGATATAGGCATTATACTAAGCTTCATTCATAGCTTCGAACAACAATCATCAAGGAACAAAAAGGAAAAGACAGTTAAGATTTAATTTCACGTACAGTGGGTCTATGTAGGCCTAATAGGCCTTGTCAGAACTGCAATTCATAGTCGCTCTGAATGTGAAAATAAATCTCTTCTGTCTTAGGAAGCCACTCTAACATGACTTCGAATGGACGCAAATAGCGACATCTGATATTAAAATCTGTAAACTAATTTTCGAAACCAATTCAGATTTTTTGCTTTAATATGTGCCTTCTAAGAATTGCAAGGTAAAACAGACGTTGATAAAGATGTTATTAGAGACATGGGAAATCTAAAATTTGCATTTCACGTCATATCTCCTCTACTAAGCAAAAATCCTTAGCGAATCGGTTTCTTGTAGTCGTTCAGAGTAATCAGAATAAAAAGGAAAAGACAGTTAAGATTTAATTTCACGTATAATGCGTCTATCTAGTCGCTTATACGTATTTCGGCTTAATAGGCCTCGTCAGAACGGCAGTTCATAGTCGCTCTGAACGTGAAAATAAATCCCTTATGCCTCAGGAAGCAAAATTTTTGCTTTAATCTCGAAAATTAGTTTACGGATTTTAATATCAGATGTAGCTATTTGCGTCCATTCGAAGCCATGTTATATGGCTGGATAAAAAGCATTGAAGTTGGATGCTGAAAAGGCTAATCCAGAACTCGTACTCTTCACTGATCTTCAGCAAGTGTTGTACTGTCTAACATTGACTCGTTCTTTAGTGTTCTACCAACGTCAGTATGCTACTTACAACTATGATATTCACGATGCCACTATAATGTTGTGACATGAATCTATTGGTATCCGTGGTTCTACAGATATCGCTTTAGCTTTCCCGTGTTACATAAAACTTAACTTTCGTCCATTGAACCCAGGAGAAATAAAAAAATTCATAGTCTGGTCTGACCGAAGCGCCGAACAGAATAATAACTGGAGAATGCTGTCCTAGAACAAAAGTTCTTAACTAGCGGTCACAGCTTCTTACCTTGCGACAGTGCCTTCTCGTTCATAGAGAGAAAGAAAAAAAGAGCAATGGTGAATGTACCTTCTAACGTACCTACCAACTCACGTCTCAGCAAGCCCTTCAATGTGTACTACATGGACAAAAAGACTTCAAAGACTTTTCAGCATGTTAGAACTATTTATGAAAAGATCCCAAATGTAAGATCACTGAGTACCGTTGGTTAAAATTCGACAGCGATGATCCTACGAGAATAATGGCTAGAACTTCTCACAACGTTATGCAACCTTGGCAAAAATTTTCACTTGTGAATAAAAAATGGGGTGTACAAGCCATCAGAGCATTCAACTACCAAATTGGGTATACCGGGCCTATAAAATAAAAGAAAAAAAAAACGAAAATATTTACTGGATATGTGCCAGTACCTGAAACCCGAATTCCGAGAGTTTCATGAAAAATTAGAATAAAATGGAACATTATTTTTAACTTTAAGTTTAAGGAGCATTAAACTGTGTACTTAGCATATAAAACATATTAATAAACATTTTGAATTGATTATAGTTTATTATTAATATTAGATACTTTTTTCAAAACCTAAATAAGCCAAAACATCGCATAGTAATCAGGTGCAACACTGTAATATATCTAGTATATACAACATTGTTGCTGTGATATTTTTTTTGTGCCTACTCTGTATAAACCTGCATAATATGTTTACACATCTATAACTTTATCTTGTTAAGTGAAATTTATTTTTTTTCAGTGCGTATTTTCATAAATTACTTGTCAATATGTTTTTTTCATTTCTTGCATAATCTCAATTCTGTCGCTTACAACACTGTTGCGGCCCACCATTCAATTGTTATTTGACGTTTCGATTTCTACTCGAAAACCCCTTTCAAAAAAGATAATTTTAAAATAGTGTGATATTTTATAGCCAAGTTGAGTGGCGGTTAGTTTTTCAAAAAAATTGGCAGTTGACTTACTTGGCCTCGATCTTGGAGACACATCGCCATGCTTCTAGTTGACGATTCTGAGGGTGATACTAGCAGCCATAGGATGATATCAAATTCTGATTGTTTTGTGTGATTATGTATCATGTGTTTATGCATTAAGTGTTTGGACTGTGTGTTGTATAGGTATTAGGTGATGTATGTGTTATGTATAATTGGTATAAATGATGTGTCTCTACGTTTCTATTAATCCGCTTTAATAAAGTTATATATGATATATTTATGCAGTATTATCCCATCAACAGATTATATAGATGTCTTAAGAAGTATTTTGATCACTAGTGTTTTTGAACACTACTTGATAACTTCCTCAATATAGTTAAATATTCCAACAAAATTCCCAGTTGCAAAGCAATCTCAAAAATAAATAAAACTCTCTAACCTGACGTATCTGCTCCGCCCTCGGGTGATCCGCTGGAATACATTGTAGCTAATTTTCCATCCAATATAAACCTAAACCAACCGTTAGAGCCGTTAGATAACTCAAGTGCGGCAGCGTCGGACCAAATGTAAAGACAATCTCTACCTCTACAAATGGACCAATCTCTCCAATGGTACGCCTTTCCAGGTAAAATTTCTCTGGCATCTTCAACTTGAGTAGTTTCAGGTGGTTCTAAGGGAATATTATTGTTAATACATAATTTTACATCACAAATTTATCAAGAAATAAGTTTTTTTTCATAATATTCAATGGATTACTATGAAATCAGGAAAAAAAAAGGTTGAATGGGTAAATAATTGTAACATTCCATTTCACGGTCAAATTGAGAATAAATTCGAGCATACATATATTGATATCTAGTTAGCCTCGACCAGTTTCACAAAGGAAAATATTGCGTTACCATAGCAACAACATACCTTCAGTTGTAGTATCGGTTTCCTCAGTTTCCTGTGGCTCTGGTGGACCTGCTAAGGCTTGAACTTTAGTGAAAATACCCAACCTTGCAAAATGATCTAAAAAGACTTCTTGTAATTTTGACATCAAATCTTGTATAATCAACAAGACTATAGAATGACCATCTTCATCATCCTGAAAAATAAAAATATGGAACTGAATTATTTTTTACCATCTACGAAAAAATAATATTATACAATACAAAATATTCAGTTGATCATTACAATGAACGAAAAATCAGCAGTGATAAATATATTAGGACCTTAAAATTCACAATAAAGGGAATTGATTGACTAGTTGACACATGATTGATATTTGAAAAGTTAACGTCATGGAAATACTACTTTACAATGCTTTAATACTCTATCCAAAATTAACACACCACTTTAAATGAACCGTAAGTTTAAAGCTATTTTCCTTCTGAAGTGTTGATTGGATTTCAATGATTTTTATTTTATGCGATAGGTCCATTTCCAGAGAATTATTGTACCGTTTTGGCTTATCTCTTTGTCTACTTCTCACCAGCTATGACATAAGGATTCGTCTAGGCGTGTTGTTCTAATGCGTACTTGCTAGATGCCCTGCGCATCTTAGTCTTCCTATTTTTATAAGAGATACCGTCATTATATCTCATAATTGTACCTCCTCCTCCAAATACCGTTTTCTCAGATGCCGCCGAATATTTCTCTTAGGATTCTTTATGACAAGAGCTTTTCATATGTCTTGTAGATAGTCCATGTTTCCGACCCATATGTCAGCACTGCTATGTTTAGTTGCGCAAATAGGTCAAAAGTAGGAACTTAGGCCAGAAAAAGAAAAATGCAAGAAAAATGCGACGAAGAACAAAATGAAAGTTTATATATAAGAAATGTCGGTCAGATAGCTCAGCGGGCTGTGCGGCTGCCTCTCATTCGCTTCGCTGTCGAATGGTTCAGTGGATGTGAGATCGAGCCCCAGCTCGGTGTACAGAAAACAAAAAGTCTAACGCAGCAGTTTAAAATTCTAGATGAATCTGCGGCTTAGACTAGAATAAGCTGGGGTCTGATCGGCCTATGGTGGAGCAGTACGGCAAGAGATAAGGGCTTGCGGCTCGGTGATACTCCTCCATAGATCCCTACCGGACGGGCGTAACGCCTAAAAAAACCGGATATATATATATATATATATATATATATATATATATATATATATATATATATATATATATATATATATAAGATTACAGATATAAGACTACATTTAGATTTAGAACAGTTTTGATTACTGTTGGTAGATTCATTAATAGAGTTGCTTACCTCGTTATCCAAAACTGTAGCGATAACTTCAACTACTTGTGTACCAAAATTTGGATTAGCGTCCATAGCACAAAGTTCTTCTAAAAGATTCGGCTGAATATAATGGACCATTTTTCTAATTAACCCCAAACTAGCTTTTCTAACGCTGGCCAACATCGTTGATTGGAGAGTGGTGCAGAATACTGGTAATAATCGTTGTAAATAAATGGGAGCCATCTCTGGATCACCTTTTGGTTCGATGTTATCTTCGCTTTCAGATTCCGATTTGCGATTTCTTTCTTTATCTACGGGAATCATCCACTCGCCAGGGCTTTGTAAAATAGCGGCGACTTCCCTATGCCCTTCATCTGCTCTTTCCCTAGCTTTATCTAAAGGTGTTTTACCATCTTCGTCCCTTAAATCAGGGTTGGCACCATGACGTAAGAGAACTTTGGCAATCGCTGGACGTCCGAAGCAAGCAGCATAATGGAGGGAGGAGCTCCTTTGACCCTTATTTACATCGGCACCTTTTTCACATAGATATTCGACCATTTCATGGGTGCCAAATGCAGATGCCCAGTTTAGTAGTGTTTGTCCAACGTCATCCATGAAATTTACTTCAACTCCGCCATTTTCTAAAACAAATAGGAATGTTTAGCAACAATTCTTATCCTACAAGACGATAAAATAGATAAAAACAAAATTAATAACAATATACATATCTGGACGTAGACCAAACAATCATTAGAAAAGGTAAACTAAATCAAACATTCATCAATATGTATAATTAAATATACTTTTTTTTTCGAAATGCTTTTTGTAGTCGATATAACAATACCAGTTACAGTTAAGTCCATGTTCTTTGCCCGTGCGTCATTAATATCTGGCGACATAAAACACATACTTCGTATCTAGCATCATCGTTCTCCACACATGAAACTAAAGAGAACAGATATCGCTTGTTATAAAGTAAGTGTTAGTAAGTTTTAAGTACAATTTGTGACGTTTCTGGTTTGTTTACTGTTGTTGTTGAATTTTTTGTTGTTTTTTTGTCCTGTTTTTGCATTTAGAAGTTATTTTAGACAAACAGTTGTTCACAACTAATTTTATATTGTTATATTGGAGTATTTTAGATTATGCCTGGAAAAACTCTTACCTCACAAGCACAAGAATTCGTTTTAAATTTAATAGAGTACTTTGAATTAGAAAAAAGGAATGGGGGACCCTTGGAATCCTCGTCATCTGTTCAAGAGGTACAAAAAGTACAATTTTCAAATATGTATTATTATAAAGCTTTAATGATGACAAGTATATATTAAACCTAGAGCTTAGATTAATTACCTAAGATTAATACTATTATAGGAATTAATATTAAACTCAACAGTCTTTCGGGCTGAATCGAGTCGATTATCATTGCACCGAGTTAACATTCTCTTCGATGTCTTCTTCAGGACTTACGATGTCTGAGTCTATCGAGTCCCCAGACACTACTACGCTGATCAGTAACCAATTCATTACTGGTACTGGGAATAAAGGGCGGTTCAATTATACTGTCGATGGTGACGTGGTTTGGGCAGAGGTTGGCGTGTGCGACAAAAGATAAGGTGGTCAATAGTAAGCCTTTCTGGCCAATTAATTGTAATTTTTCCTTTGTTTTATTTATTCAATATTTATGATTTATTTAGTAGTGAGGATCACCCCCACTTCTCTTCCGACACTGAGCAACGCGACCTCGTTTATTTTGTGTACCTTAAACTATATCCATCGTTTGTTGTGTTACAAAGTACGTTCACATGCTTTATCTTATTAATTACTTAGCAGTGTCGTAGATTTCGAAGTTTTTTTTATCATAAATTTGGTGTGCGTTAATAAAAATGTAATATAATGTAAAGAAACTCTATGTTAAGTTGTTAATTGTACTAAAACTTACCTATAGCTTCAATTAATGCATCCGTATCTTTGGATCTTATACAATCTATTAGCTGTCTGTGAGATTTTTCAGCTGCGGAATCCATTCGCCTCATTCTTGGCATCAGTTGGCCGGATGAAGACGATCCAGATTTTCCTAAAGCTCGTCTCCCTTCGAAAAGCAGCACCAACAGCAAATCGACTAGACGCATTGAATCCAATACACATCGTTCGTCTCCTTTTAGTGATTTTTCAATGGCATCCAGAAGCTCAGATCTTAGTAAATCCTATAAAATAAATTAACAAATTGATCATTTACGAACAAGGATGATTCCAATTTTTGACTGGTTTATTACTATATTAGCTACGGGAATAATGATATTATTCTAATGATGTATCTTGGTAATAAATGCGTTGATATTACATCTATAAAATAAAAATTACGACATGAAAAACAATTCTATTTGCAAGCCTTTATAGAAGGCCCACCTTCAGAACCCCACAATATTTTGTCAATAATTAATAATCTACATCCTGCAATTAATTTTACCTTAGAAGTAGAAAGCAACAACATTATCAACTTTTTAGACCTAACTATCAAAAAGAATGCTTCCTCCTCTTCTTCTTTGCCTACACTAGAATTTTCAATATTCTGAAAACCTACTCAAACTGACCATATGATACCAACATCCTCAAATCACCCTTTTCAACACAAGATGGCAGCTATTCAATGTTATGTCCACAGACTTCTTAATATCCCTATGTCTCAAGAAAATTACAACAAAGAAATCTCCATCATTAAACAGATAGCAAACAACAATGGTTTTCCTTCTACTACTGTTGATAAAGTCATTAGAAAATCTATACTCAAAAAGAGACTAAACCAAGCTTTTAATGTTGATAAAAAATCCAACACTACTTCCATATATAGATCCTTAACTTACTTAGGACCAATTTCAGAAAAAATTTCAAGAGTACTTGTTAATAAAATCAGTGACTTAAACATCTCCTTTAAAACCAAATATAACATCAAGTCCATCTTCAGTAAGACCAAAGACAAAGTTGACAAACTAAACAGAAGTGGTATTTACAAGCTGTCCTGTGGTGACTGTAATATGACTTATGTAGGTAGAACAATGAGAACTCTGAATCAAAGAACACCTCAATAACCCAGAAAAATCAAACTTTGGATATCACATTAAATTTAATAATCATTCCTTTTCTCCTTCTGAAAACAGTAAAATTTTACACAACGTTCCCAATAAAAACTTTAGACTCATGAATCTCTTGGAAGATCTTGAGATATCCAAAGAAATGAAACTAAACCCTGATTGTTGCTTAAACACACAAATCAACCTCAATTGCAATTATAAACCTCTTTTTAAATTATTATGGGAGACTTTAGAGGAAGAAGGGTGACCTCATGCAATCTTATTATATATTTTTCATACTTTTATATTTTTAAACAAATTTTAAACTTTATTAGAAATTTACAACATTTTGTAATTCATTTGACAAACAGTTGTTCTTAATTGAAACATGAAAATACATTCTTAAAAAATTTATGCAAATTTCTTACAAATTTCCATCAAGAGATACAATTCTCAATACACTTAAGTATCAGATAACGTAACATTAATACCATGTTTCTTCTTTATATTGTTGTTGAACAATTTGAGCCCTTGTTTCTTAAGGATAGCTGTCAGATTGAACATACATTGACCTTGAGCAATGACTTGAGCGAATTTACAAACTAATGTCATTCTGTATGATGTGATGAACACATAAAATTTAATTTAAAAACTTAATTTTTAGAAAGTCTTTGATGACTATTAGTAATTCCAAACTATTAAATAATTTTGTAAGAATTTAAAAAAACAATCTCTATTTCCTATATATGACATTTGTCAACTGTCACTTTTGAAAAATCGTTTAAAAGGACGACATTTGATTTCATTAGTTCTATTCTGTCTACATCCTCACATCAATCAATGGTCGGGTTCCTACACCCGTACCATGACAAAAAAAAAAAAAAATTTTAACGTGTTTGTGAAGTCCAGTGTCGGCTTTTTATATGTTTTTTATATGTTTTAACAAATTTCAACAACTAAAAAAATCATTATTTTTGAAATATAAGGAAATGAGATCTCTCCTTTGTAGTGGTATTTAAAAAATTGACGTAAGTTAAAAATTATAATCTTTACCAATTAGTACTTATAAGAACATTTTATTGTAGCATAGCTCTGATGATGGCTTTGTAAAGCCGAAAGCGCTCAGCTAGGAATTGCCTAAAATATACACACTTCAAAAATACTTTTTTGCATTTTCTTTCGACTTGTCATAAGTGTGTACAAAAAAATATCAGTCTTTTGATTGAACTTTAATAATAGATTAAATCCATAATAACATTTTTATTTTAGAAAATTCCGAAACTAGTCTAAACAATGCTACTAATGCATCAGAGAAAAGCGGTGCAACGATACATAGAGTTTTAAAAAAGCACAACTATAAGCCGTACAAAATATTACCGGTACAAGAACTTACCGACGTTCATGAGAGAAAGCTTTTACAGTTTTGTCAAGATATGCTTACAAATTTGAACAATGATCCTAATTATTTTTATCACATTCTATGGACAGATGAATCAAATTTTTCAACATTAGTCATTTTTAATAGAAGAAATAGGTATTCGTGGGAACAAAAAAATAAAGAAAAAGAAAAATTAAATAAATGAAAAAGTCAGGATGAAAATCAATTAATGTGTGGTGCGGAATATTTCAAAATAAAATAGTTGAACCATTGTTTTATAATTATAAATTAACTGGGGAATCATATTTGGACACAGTCATTACAGAAGTGGATGAGTTATTAAATCAAAATTATACACAAAATCAAATAAATAGTATGATATGGCAAAAATATGGAGCAGCGCCACATAATGTAGCCGTTCAAGAAATATGTTATAGCTTTTTATGAGGGTTTTTAAAAAAGTGTATTTTGATTCAAATACAAATATTAACACTATCACGGCAAAAGTTCGAGCGGAAATCAAAAATTTAAATGGTCATAATAACACAATATCTGACGCATTAGAAAATTTGAGACGAAGATATTACTTGTGCATTGATAAAAATGGAGGGCACTTTGAGCATCTATTGTAATCTTAAATGCAGTATTGTATCTTAAATGTAGTATTGTAAGTCATTAATTTTGTTGACTTTCTAAATATATTTTTTTCTTATCTTAGTATAGTATAGTAGTACTATACGCCATTATAGAACAAAACTAATGCTACACTATGTTATATATTTGTAATCAGGAAATGCAGGGCTACTCAAAACTATAAAAAAAAATACAGGGTGACCCATTTGAAATATTGAAGATGCATTTTGGGCACTCCCTGTATACAAAATTTGGTCTGTTGCTACACTGTTGGTCGGTACAAATAAAATAATACAATTTTTATTTGAAACTTTTTTTGTATTCCTAAAATTAAGTGGAGGGTCAAAATATAATGAGAAACCCTGCACAATATTCTTCCCAATCTCTCAAATTTGACTCTACTGTCTTAAACACTCCATTTACACTACAGGAACTCTTTAATATTCTTCCAAGTTGCAAGAATTCAGCTGCAGGTCCATATAACATCCCTTTCATATTCCTCAAAAATCTTCCCATATCTGCCGCAAAAACATTGCCTATACTGTGTCAATCAATAACCTTGTAGTTGAGACATAATAAACTACATATTAACAAAAAACATTATTATAAAGACTAATGTTTTTCTCCATATGAAAATTGATACAAATTATTTAAAATTTATATACTTCTATCTATCTGTCGAACTTCCAGTTCTAACGTGTTCTGCCATATTTTCGATTTCGTTATAACGATGAATTAATCGACAGTGTGCACTTTGTGATTCATAAAAACGGTCATATCGACCTTTGCAGCAGTAAATTTTCTTCTTATCATCACTCTATATTAAAATAACTTAAATATGCTAAATATTCTCACTAGAATCTATATAATTCAAAACAGACTCAACACTTGACAATTCATGCCTTGCAAATTACTGTCGAAAAAAATGCAGTATTTGCAGTATGCAACATTTTTTATCGAATAAAAAATTTACTAGAATAGTTTATTTCAATTGTTCTAAAAATAACTAAAGAATTTTATGGCAAACGTTTCATTTGAACACTAGTAATATCAATAACTTTTGAAGCGCAATTAATTAATATTAATACATATTTCCTTTAATATTTATTAACATATAAAACAAGGTTTTTATTGAAGTAGATAGATATAATTTGAAACTTCTCTTACTAAACAACAAAAGTTTTTCAGATTAATTTAGGTTTAAAATAAAGTAATTGATATGAGGTTGAATGCTCAAATAAATGAACTTTGAAAAATAAGGCTATTATGGAGCACAAGTTTAATTAAAATTCATTTCTCTGTCAGTATCATTAAAGAGAATGATAAAAATCATTACCTTTAGTGATACTGACAAAGAATGTAGTGCGTAGAATCTTTTTAAGTAATTTTAAACTGTTTGTTCTTGTTTTAGTGTAGTGTTTTATACAATTTTATGTTATAATTCATGTTTATCACATTCTACGCTTGCTGGATAGCTCATATTTGACGAAATGCCCCTGAAGATGCTATTTTAAGCGAAAGTACTTGGGCAAGATTTAATTAAACTTATGCTCGATAATAGCCTTATTTCTCAAAGTTAAAATAAAGTATTTTTCTACTTCAAACTTCTTTTATTTCTTCTATCAGTTTATCTATTTATTAAGAGGACATCTCAGTGCCAGCGAATATGGGATTCACCATAGCATAGATCATAAAGTAGTTCTCGAGTTTCACAACTACATATAACTTGACGTTATCAATTACTACTAACAGGAAAATGGCTCAAACTTACATATGTTATAGAAGGAGATCCCCTACAGAGAGTTGAAAGGAGGCTAATAATGGTCGATATTGAAGCTGCGTTCGCTTTGGAATCAGGTGTAGCTGTTGCTGGATTACTTGTAGATGGAGTTTTACCTGGTGTTGTTTGAGTACCACTGGCAGCTGCTGGCCCGGCAGCATTAGAGAGCCTACTTAACAGTTCGTTGACCAGACCTGAAATAAAATAAAGCATAAAATATGTCTAATTTTAATTTTACATATTTTAAAGTAATAAATAAATAATAAATTTAAAATAATTTTGTTTTATTTTTACATAATACCAAATTAACTAACAGAATAATTTTTTTTTAACAGAAATGCCCTATAGTATGAAATTAAATGTTAATGCTCTCGAGTGCACCATTGCAGTGAGTTCCCTTTTCAAGTTACGGCACAAACGATCTTGGCGATTTAAGCTATCTTTGTCTCAGTATACGTAACGATGTGATGTATTTTAAATGCTGCTATATGGAGTGAAGGTCTGGAGAACAAAATTTTTTTGAAAGAGTATTTTGAAAATTTATTATATGTCTTTGTATATAATTCACCTAAAAGTTTATTTTTTCGAATATTGAGTATTTGTTTTAATGGGAAGTTGTATTGTCTTAAAAAGTTCCGGAATACCCCTTAGATTCGTACTCGGTACTCGTCTTTTTCAAAGGAAAATTACCAAACTGATTTAAATCACTGAACTAATTCACTGATCACTTCTTACAAATAAATGGTGATGTACATTCCAAATTGATTTGCCACTATACTATTAGAACCAGGATCCTTTTTGCTTTTAATAGTATTCCGACAATATGCTCGGTTTTGTGAAAAAATAGATGAGAATCTGCTCCGCAGTTAACGTCGTTTAAACATTGTATCACCTTGCAAAACTTACAAGGTTCACTGTAATTGTTTTCTTACAGACCATTCACAAAAATTTAACTAAAGCAAAAAGGCAAGAAAATGCACAAACGAGATGATACTAGCGACCTGAAACATTAGGGAGTCCTTTTATGATGAGGCAGCGTTTGAAGAGTTAACCAAATAGAAAGAAATACAAAATAGATGTGGCTCTACAAAAAAAAACTAAAAAAATAAGAAATGAAATAACGGAAGTTGAGAGCATTCAGAGCTTCAGCTCTGTCTCAGACAGAATGTGCGTAATACGAATGAAGGGAGAAAAAGGAATATAGGTATAATTAACATAAATGCCCCATCCGAGGTAAAAGATGATGAAACAAAAGACCTATTCTACGAGCAACTAACGGATCAATATGAGCATTTACTAAAAAATGATTTAAAAGAGTAATCGGTGATTGCAATGCAAACAGTGCGGAAAGAAGCTATGTATAACGTAGTAGCTGGAATACATAGCAAGCATAAAGTGACAAATGATAATGGCCAAAGACTAATCAGTTTTGCGATGAAAAAAAATATGATGGTAAAGAGCACCCAGTTAAAACGAAAGGAAATACATAAGGGATCCTTATGTCTACTGATGGAAGGACAGTTAACCAGATTGATCACGTATTGGTGGAAAGAATCCACATGAAATTTATAAGAAATATAAGAAGTACGAGAGGAGCCTAAATGGATTAGGACCATTTTCTGGTTAGAGCTATACGTGGAATGGTGCAAAAAGTTCAAGAAATGAGAAAAACAAATTCAACTATTAAAAATCGATATGATATAGAAAAGCTAAGCGAAATGAAAATAAAAAGAAAGTATATCAATGAAATAAATAAAGAGCTATTATCCTAGAAACAAGAAGAGAAACTAGGAATAGAGCAAATGGGGAAAACTACAAGAGAGGCAATATATAACTACAGCAAATGATAAAATTATTCAACAAAAGACCCAAATGAAAACAGGAAAGAATCAGTTTGATGAAGAATGCCGGAAAAGAATAGAATAAGACAATTCGCATGAACAAACAATAAATACTGTGTTCACCAGAGTTATAAAAGTCAAAATGAGAAGGTTACGTAGACAAAAGAAAAGAGAATATAACAAAAAAATAAATACAAGAAATAGAGGAAACATTTCACAAATAAGAAATACGGTCATTTTATACGAAGTTAAAAAACTGAAAGGGGATACCAAAATTACAATTCATACAAGAAAAAAGAACATGAAACACGCGAGTGAAAAAGAATCAGTGATGGGTATATGAGAGAGATATTTTAGTGAATTGCTTAATGGGCAAAATACAGTTGAGAATGATTATATAACTGATGAAGAATCAGTGATGGGTATATGGGAGAGATATTTTAGTGAACTGTTTAATGGGCAAAATACAGATGAGAACGATTATAGAACTGCCTAGTGAAAGAGAGATTAAAAGTATGGGATCAAAAATATCAAAAGACCAAGAGAAAACGTAATAGTCGCGGAAATGATACATGGAGGGGAAACTACAAAAAATAATGTACAGCCTTATCAAGAGGAAGGAAGATATGGGAAGAGGAAAATACGCTTAAAGATTGGACCAAAGCTTTATTATATTATTATATACAAAAAGGGAGATAGATTGGGAGGTGAAAATTACAGAGGTGTTGCTTTGTTGGATACTTATTATAATGTATCAGCCAGGGTGCTAAGAGAGACTCAACAGATTTGCTGAAGATAAACTACGTATCAGGCCTGTTTTAGAGTTAATAGACCAGTGACAGATTAGATTTTACACTAAAAGAAAACCAGAATATCCGCTATGAACAAAAGGTAACCCTTCATGCGATGTTAATAGATTTTAAACAAGCTTATGATGGATAAGAAGGAATAAAATGTATCATTGTACATGATTTCGTGAGAAATCATTGTGGAACAGAGGTCTTAGACAAGGAGATCCGTTATCCACGGTCCTCTTTAATTTGGTATTCTTTCAATGATGATCTTTCTATTCCAACTAAAACAAATTAAGAATTAAGAAATGTTATAAAAATATTACAAAAGGAGTCAAAATATTTTGACCTACAAATAAACCAGGAAAAGTCAAAGTACACGATACTCGGAAATACAGTGCAAAAAGAAGAGGGACAGTTTACTTTTATATCTAATTAATCACAGAAAATATAATTTCGAAAGAGTGATCCATTTTACATATCTAGGTCTTATTATAAAAGGGAAAGATCCGGAATAATGGCAACTGAATGCCAGACTAGCAAAGGGAAATAAAAAGATGGGAAGCCTAAGACCAGTGATGAATCCAAATATGTGCCGAGAAAAATAAAGTCAGGGATATATAAAACGGTCATGGAAGTATAGACAACGAAAAAAGCAAATACGGAGAAATTAGAAAGGTGGGAAAATGCTTAAGGCTATATATGGAGGCAAAAACACAGTGGAAGGTTGGTTGCGACGAACAAACAAGAAGCAATAGGAACTGTATAATGAAACAAACATAAGTCTGTCTCTCCATAAAGGCACAGAGACTGAGATAGATGGGGCACGTGATAAAAAGAAAAAGAAAGATGTGTCAAAGATGACCCTCAAACGGAGCCCAATCACGAAAAGAAGAAAATGACGACCCAGATAAAGATGGTTTGATAGCGTACAGGAAGATCCCGGAAAAGAGGGAACTGGTGGTTGGGAAGAAAGAGCAACAAGGATAAATGGAGGAGACTAGTAAATCAATTTAGTAGGCAAGGGGCATGATTGGACAAGGATACTTAATACAAGTTATGTAATATATAAGAACTATATTATTTTTACCTCAAGAAGGCCTGTTGCTTTGTAAAGAAATAAAAAAGGGCAAGATGAAAAAGCGCACATTGGAGTTACAGGGAATTTCAATGCAGAAATCGGAGCAAAAGAATAGAGAGGTACACATTATATCCGTCCCTTTGTTGTTCACTGCCAGATATTATTACAGTCAGCAGCAATACAGTATATAGAAGGCTTCATTACTGTCTTCTAAATACTTTTTTAGTATCATTTGTTTGTTTTTTAATATTTGTATCATTAGCTTAATGTTTATAAGAATATTAATCTAGTTTGGTCATATAACTCGCGCCAACAATATGGAAAGACTAATTAGGGAAAAGCATAAAAAAAGAGAAAGGAATTGAAGAAACATACTGGATAAGAACCCAGAATAGAGAACGACGAAGACTCCGCATCAAAAGAGCAATAAAAACTCCGGAACAATAACAATATAATATGTCCAAAAGTATGTCTCAATTTCTTGATACGTCTTGTCTTGATTGTCTTGGCAATTAAAACAAATGTAAATAATATAAAAAACATACCATGCTGAGCTAAAGGAGCTGGATCTACACCTCTTCTTGTAAATCTGTCGGCTACAGAAGCGAAACATCTAAGTGCGCCATCGGCGACATGGCTGTCTTCATGATGTAGTAAAGAACTGAGTGCGGATACACAAGTTGGTAGTTGGGCGTCTGCTGGTTCCATCTTCGTGCATAATCTTGAGACGACAGCCATAGCTGAATGAAGTGTATCTTTGTGTACTCTTTGACCATTATCGCGAATAAATGGTAGAATGCAGCTTAAGCCGCCTGCATCGAATACTGCTCCGGCTTCTCTTGTACATATTAGCTCTAATACCTGTCACAAAAATAACAAGTTTCAGATATTTTGTACTATATGTTAAAATATTCGAAATATTTGCAGAGACAATACGATGCACATAGACACATAACACTTTTAAAATGAATTTTGCTGACATTATGAAACAATTAAGAAACAGATAGATACCATGTTTGTGTCTTATACTGTTTATATTATATTATATATATATATATATATATATATATATATATATATATATATATATATATATATATAGCAAAACTGGTAGGATTATCGACCGAAACGTAAATAACAATTTATTGTTTTGGAGTATCAGGTATGCGGTCTGTTATTAAAAAAAAAAACTCTTTTTTCTTTTATTACTCTATATTTCGCTGATTTTTGTCAGCTTCTTCAGGAGATAAAGATTAAGAGTTAAAATATTTAAAAATCTTGAACATAATATATTCAAAACAGAGTACTGTTTTGAAGTAATCTTTATCTTTATCTCCTGAAGAAGCTGACAAAAATCAGCGAAATATAGAGTAATAAAAGAAAAAAAGAGTTTTTTTTTTAATAACAGACCGCATACCTGATACTCCAAAACAATAAATTGTTATATATATATATATATATATATATATATATATATATATATATATATATATATATATATATAGGTATATATATATTGTTATGGATCAGTTTATCGATCAGAAATAGAATAAAGAGTTTTTTATTATTTTAATATACCGCGGGTATATAAGTTAAAATACAACCCTGTACTTATTTGTAATAGTTAGAATAAGAGAAAACATTGTTCCGTGACGGGACCCTAACGAGTTTTTCCGTGAAAGACTGAGTGAATAGTGAAAGGACAATGGAACTCGTATAATTATAGATTTAGGAATAAACTTGTAATTGTATTTTGCGGTGGGCATTATTCGAAAGTAAATAAGAATTAGATTTAGATAAGAGATAACAAGAATTTGGAAACTTATTTCTGTTGAAAAAGGCAAAATTGTTAATGGTTTCTGAAAAGTAATTTGAGTGAAAGTAGTTTATTTGTTTTAAATGTCATGTTGGAAATTTTCTAAATCGAAAATAAGTGGGAAAGATGAATGCTTATGATTGGTTAAAAAATAATGGTGGGAATGAGAGAGTTGAGAACGTTGTCTGGGAGAGATTGAAAGATTTATTATGTTACCGGCAGACCAGAAGAGAAGACGTGTTTTCGTGTAGTCAATCTGAGTACCAGTGTTTTCGTTTGTTAGTGAAAAAGGTGGAAGCTGAAAGCAGATCAAAATCGAGAAGATTAATACCTCTTTTGAGTCTGCATAGTCCACGAGATATAATTGAGAAAGAAAGGAGAATTTGTGAATAAAGAGTACCGGTCAAAAGAGGCTTGGGCTTGTGTTTTCGGAGGAGTAGTTTGCTGGTATGCGGTTTGGATCGATGCTGAGAACGGGAAAGATTTGATGGTAGCCGGACATAATCAATCAAGGAAGGAACTGTGGTTTGATCGAGAGGAGACATCATTGGTGTAAAAATAAAGGTCAGATCAAAATACAGTTCGTGTTTGATAGGTAATTGAAGTATAAAATTACAGTAGATGCGTTCCCTGTGGGAAGATCCTAGGTTTAGATCCTTCAAACATTTTGGATATTAACTCAACGCTATCTCTGGTTATTTAATCAATTAGATACGGTTTTTGGTTGTTAATGATAAAATTAATACCTATCAAAAAATTTTATACATTTTTAAATGTTATTTTTTTATTTAGATTTAGTGCAATTCCGTGATGACAACAACGAATTTATTCACGAACCATTGTGTTTAGTCTGAACACAGGTTTACATTGGGAAAAAAAAGTGTACCAGTTTTATATGATGGGAAGTGTACACTAACTTGAAAACTCGTTCAGCCACGGCATACTTGGGTAAATAATCTCCTTTCATTATTAAATTCTTTGTAGGACGTATTGTAGACAAGCACACACACTATATTGCATTCATAGATTTCTTTGTGACCAGTGGACATTCATTGAAGAGAGGAATCCAAAATTATGCAACATATACATTAACTTTGCTTTTCTTCAGTTTTGACTGACCCTCTGCTTCTTCAACTAATTTACTATACTTAAGTTTAAGTCCATGGTCGTTTTCCAAGACCATGTCATAAGCCGACTTGATGTATGAATTTCGCACCCAGTCGAAGAATACTTTTTGATATTGTCATTCAGCTTACTAAGACTTTAAAAAAAAATGTACAGATTTGGTTCTGCATTGCAATTGTTTGTTAACTGAAACATGTCCAATGTGGCTTGATTTTCAACTTTCTTTATCCACAGTAAAAGTCACAGTCATCACTAAGGAAATTGGCGTATTCAGACACAAGTAAAAATACTAACAGCTCCTTTAAGTTCATAGAATCTTTGAAGGGTACGTCCGCGAGAAAACCATCTTACTTCTGTATGCAACAATAGCTGCGTACACTCAGAATGCATAGCAGAATACAATCTGTTAAATAGAGGCCTACTTTTGATGTTGTTCACCATTTTCACAACAGATTGCAAAACGTCATTCAGTTCAGACATCAATGACTTAGCAACAAGCGATTCTCTGTGTAAAAAACAATATTTGAACATAATATCTGGATTTAACTTTTGGATTAAAGCCAGAAACCCTATTAAGTGCCCTACCATCGCAGGGCAACCATCTGTGCAAATACTCAAATAAGACAGCCACGACAAACCAGCAGCGATAAAATAACTGTTCACTAATTGAAAAATGTCTAGTCCTGTTGTATTTTCAGGAAGTTCTTCACAAAATAACTGTTCAATTACGTTAGATTCGCATATAAATCTAACGAAATCAATAACCTGGGATTATTATCTGTGGATTCGTCAACTTGAAGCGCCAAATAATCAACTGTTTTGAGTTTTTCATTTACTTGGGTCGTCGATATGCCTTTTAATCCTATTATAAGATAAGGGTATTTTTTAAATCTCCTTATCACATTCTTCATCAAATATAGTTTTATCAATTTCACAGCATGAAGGCATAATGGTCGTCTCGGCAGTTGTATGGGATTTCATATTTTTTGAAATCAACTCAGCCACAGCGTAACTGGCTTCTTGTACTTTATCGGACACAGATGAAAGTTTTTTAAAAGTGGAATAATATTTTGACATAATTTTAATTCTGTTTATTCCGTATTTCCGTTAATTCCGTCTGTAAACAGACGGTAAAATTTCGCAGCATAGACGCTACGCACTTCTAGCGTAAGACAATTTACCTTTAGAACGAAAGACACGTAAATTCATCTGGCTATTTTAATGTAATAAACACAGCATTTATAGTACAGTTTCATTTAATTCAGTAAATACAAAATTCTTTAAGTGTCAGCTACAGGAGTCACTAGAGAAAAAGGAAAGGTACATGGAAAAGTAAAACAATTATCTCAATCTAATTTTTTGTCTCACGTTTGGTGAAAAACGGTTGTTTCAGAAGTAAATGTTAGTATCAAAAAGACAAAGAAAATCTAAAAAAACTATGAAAGAGCTGGTTAAATGCGAGTCAATAGCATGAATAAAATGTAAACTTGTCGAACGACAAAATGAATAAGATCACTAACCGCAACTTATTTTATGACAATTACCTATTAAATCAAGGTCATAATCATTAAAATCGATTCGTGTATTCCTTATTGAAAATTGTTAAAGTGCTACAAATTGCAAATAACGATATTTAGTGATGATTAGTAAAAAATAAATACACTTTAATTGCTTTTTAAACATAATTTACAGGTTTTATTTTTAAGTCTGTAACAACTACAAGGAAATATCCAATATACGCAGGATTTTTGTTCTATTTTATAATTAGTGAATCAAAGTTCAACTTTCGCAATTAAAGTTAAAAGACGAGACAGTTCATGTTTTTTATCTCAATAAACAATCCTTTAGCATAAAGTGGATTTGAAGAAAACTGATGATGATATATCTGAAGGACGCAGCTGATTTTGCGGACATAATGGAAGGTTCATAAAAACTTAACGTACATAACGGAAGAAAGTCAATGAAAAGAATACCTTGCGCTTTTACGTATTAACACGTTTAATTTCCCCAATTGTGCAATTTTCCGTAATCACTTTAAAAGTTCTGTTCGAGAGCATGGTATCTATAAATAGCTGCTTCCCACGATCGGTGCTTCTACAGATCATCGCGCACAGCCGATGAGCACGGATGGCAACGTAGTGCAGACAGAGCTCTTCCTACGATCCGTGCCAGTCTGTGTAGCTGTCTACTTTTTTTTGCCTTCTGTATCTCAACATTAAATTGTCTCTCTTCTTTTTTAAGTCTTTAGTCGAGATAGTACTATTCTTTGATACAAATTTAAAAAATCAAAAATAACTTTGTTTGTCCATTCCATTTTTTAGCAAAAAAGTGCAAAACAACTTTGACAACACTACAGAAAACTACTCGTGTCAGCGAATGAACAACTTCTGACTTACTTGCACTAGTCTGTTAAAACAAGGACGCCCTCGGATAGCGTCGCACGGGCATGTACCGCACCTTTGATGTTACCGACTCTCGATGGATACAAGCGGCTTCCCACGATCGGCGATATTGCGGACGGACGCAGACCAGCTCGCACCGATGCACCGTGGGAAATGTCTCGTCCGTGGTAGCAGTGTAGCACAGGCACGTCTGTGCTGGTGCGTCATATGCTGGTATAAAAGCTAAAGTCATCAGGCACTCTGTAGTTAGCTTGAAGCCTTATGAAATATCATTTAAGGTAAATTATTTAAATTTTTCCTATTTCAATTGCATAAAAATGAAATTCGTGATATTTACTTTTTCATATTAATAGCACAAATCCATCTTTTTCTTTTCTCTACTTTATATGTAATCTTTGGGAACCTATAAAAACTACACTCACTATTTTTGCGATTATTAGCACAATTAAATACGCAACATGTATTTGCACACATTTTTAATAAAATTTATGTGTAAAAAGAAGGTCCAATTTTGTCATATTTCGCCGCTACGCACGCTGGCATCGTTTCAAGTTAGTTACCCCTACCATGGTCACGCACGGAGCGAATACAGGGAAGAAATATCAGTTACAATCTGATCTTTCAGTAAATTTACTATTTGAATTGGGAATAGGCCACAATATGAGTTCGAAATTAAATGTATTTGATGTTTGGACTTCCACTTGAAGTCGAAACGTCAAATAAATTTAATTTCTAACTAATATTACAGCTTACTTCCAACTAAAATTGTAAATTTGCATAAGATATCGCAAGAAAATAACTTCAGAACAATATAAAGAAATAGTTACTTCTAATTTCAGTAAAACTATGATTTAATTTTCGTTGTTTATTGATAATTCTTCTGTAGCCAATCCGGAGTGTTGGAAATTGTACCTGTGTGGGAGTATCCGAAATAGATCTAGAGAAAGGAAAATGATTTGCGATAACAAAAAGTAGATGATGATGAAGAATCGTGTATTTTAATAGGGGTAATTTTCGTGCAATTGAAAGTTTATTTTCTATTAAATATTTGCGAACTAGGTATCTTTGTGTAAAGTATTTCATAGAAATTTCATACGTAACAGGTACTGAAGCTCAACTGACTGAGGAAATTTTCGATCCGACTTCCAACTTCACCATTCACGCTCCAAATCCGTCGCAAGTCGGGCCTTTAAGTCGTCCCTCTAGATGTTCCGATTTGTACCACTAGTTGTCCAACTAATCCAACCAGCGCACTCACGGTCCGATTTTATATCCAACTGCGGAAGTTGGACCACTAGTCGGACTAAAAATCCTGTCGGCCTGTTTAAAGATGATAAAACACTGTTTCCCAATAGGGATACGATTAGAAGGAAGACCACGAAAACGCTGGAACGACAACTTATAATCGATCCTCATAAGCCGTAACTTCTTAGAGGAAATGCAGCTTACCATTTCCGAGATCAACCGGTCGGTCTAGATCAGTAATATTCAGCGTTAACAGGAGTACGTCATGTAGGACACATTTCGTGTTCAGTCAAACTGATACAAAGCTACTACCTCTTCAAACCCATTAACCCCATTTAATTTTTTAACTTAAGCAAACACTATTTTAACACAGTTTACATATAAGTTCCACAGCTTGGATGATAGTATGTTTAAAACATTTTTTCACTTTGGCTTGGCTACTCAGTGGATGTCATTACCGATAATTTAAAATGTTTTAATACTTGGTATAGGTTGTAATAAGTTTTCCACAAATTTTGTAAAATACTGTTGTTGTTTGTTTGTGTTTAAATGACTGCGGACACTAAATCCATTCGCCAATCTTACAATTTGAGGTGTAGTGTGTATGTGTGTGTGTGTAGAGTAATTGTCTTGATACTTAGCAAAGTCGACGTCACTGTCTTTGCTAAGAGACGCTAATTGTATCCGAACGTCTGCGGTCCCTCCGGTGTGTACCGATCACACACGGATAGAAATTATTTTCATTTATTAATTTTTTTAATAAACGAAAATTTCCACCCAGGTGGGATTCGAACTCACGACCTTTAGGTTTAAAGGCAGGCGCTCTTACCACTGAGCCACAGAGGGGGTAAAATACTGTAAGTTGTAAATATACAAAACTGAAAATATAAGAGATATTTGTCTACTACCTCTTCAAACCCACTAACCCCATTTATTTTTTTAACTTAACCAAACACTACTTTGACTTTGAGATAAGTTCCACAGCTTGGATGATAGTATGTATAGACATTTTTTCACTTTGGCTTGGCTACTCAATGGATGACATTACCGATAACTTAAAATAATTTAATACTTGGTATAGGTTGTTATAAAATCTCCACAAATTTTGTAAAATACTGTAGGTTATAAATATATAAAACTGAAAATATAGGAGATAATTGTCTCTTTTTCAACTGTGGTTAATTGTAATATTACAACAAAAAATTGTTTTTTAATGGCTATACCTTAGGTTGTATGCTATGAATAGTCATAATGGTTTGAGTCGATGAATTTTTATAATTTTAAAATGTTTTGTAATGTTTCATATTTACTGATGATTCATGGAATATTTGAATGATGCTTGAATATAGTATTCGAATTTATTTAATGTATGTATTTAGAATACGAGTTTCTCGAAGGATATAAACAGCTTAATAATTGATTATGGGAAAATTATTTTTTTTAAGTATTTTTATTTTTTATTATAACGCAAATAATGAAAACATAGATGCATGATGAGATTAATAGAAACATTAAAGACGAATCACTTTGTTTCCTCTAATCAGATATGAGGCACCATTTTGGTACTAAACCTTGTACTAAATGTACAAGAAAAAAGTATAACGTGAAATTTCCAAAATAGCAGTTAAATAAAAATTAGCAAAAATCGTTAAAAGTAAAAAATATAACAATAAAACACTAAAAACTGTGTTTTCACAGAGTGCCTTTCTCAAGCGATCTATTTTTGGGATGTGTGTTATCATCTTAAACTGAATAGGTTGAAGAAGAGAGAACTGCTTGTCTCAAGTTGGTCAGTCAGAATTATGTCTGTGTTTTTTAATTTGTTAATTTCCATAAATTCTAATAAAGATAGCTTAAGGCCTTTATTTTGGATGTGAAGAATTTTAAAATCATCATTAAAAGAATGATTATGATCTAGAAGATGAAGTGCGTATGTAGAATCTGTTTTTATATTATTGAAAGCCCTTTTATGCTCTGCTATACGTTTGATAAAAGTTCTACCAGTTTGAACAATGTAAGTTTTTGGGCAGTCACCACATTTAATTTATATACACCACTGTGTAATTGCTTTTTATTTTGGCTCTTGTTGTTTTTAATATATTTCCCAAGTCGTTGTTTTTTCTAAAAGCTGGTGTTATTCCTTTCGAACAAACAACAACTTTATTAGGCAAATATATGGAAAATGACACAAAAATGGTTGGCGAAAAATCGTATCTCGGATACTATAAATCCTAAAGACTACCAAACGTCATTTTGAAGAGGAAGGATATATTTTTCCTCCGAAACAATGTCTATATCTATATCTTCGTGCAAAACAGTTATGGAGCAAAAAATCACGTTTTGCCTCATTGTTTGAATATATTATTGTTAAAAATATTTTCGACTTTAAAAGATGACATTTCAATAGGTAATTTAATTTTAAACAACTTTCCTGTAGATGTATATATACGAAAAGTACACAGAATTCAAGTTAAAAATAGAGAACTGAAAAAAGCACTAATTTACCCCCTTTTCAAACAAAAACGCACTACTTTAAATGGCAGAACTTCGCGGTTTTTTCATATTGGGAGTCCGTTGACCCTATGAAAAAATAAAACCCGTTTAATGTTTTAGTTACTTTTAGCTCTCTTTTTTGGGGCATAATCAATAGCTTATTAGGAGTTTGTTATTTAATAACAAAAATAAAAATGTCTAAAGAACACAACTAACCTTTACGCATTGTTCTGCTAGATCTTTGCTGGTCCTAGAAGATAATTCAGCTACCACTAATCTGTTGCAAATGGCTTTAACAGCTCCCTCTATCGCAACAATTCTTCTCGTACATTCAGCAGACACGTCTAAATAATAGGTGATTGCTCTAGCGGTGACTTCCAACACGTTTTCTGGAGCTTGTTCATCCAAGAATATTCTACATAATGCTGGTAGGAAAGTTCTAGGCGGACAACTTTCGAAGCAACGGTCCACATTATCCGACATCAAGAGTAACATGCACAGTTGCTCCAGGGCGATGAGCTGCATATCGCGCTCATCGCCCAGGCCGCTATTCAGCCATTCCAAGAGAGTTTCCGGGTCAGGATCAGCCATCTAGAACAAAAATTACAGATATAGCATAATTTTCGAAATTGGTATTGTTTACAAACAAGAATAGTACGATTAAATTATAAAGGTACCTATAAACTAAAGTCTAACATTATTTACTATTTTTATTGGAAATTAACAACAATTTCTGTTTAAAATATGTACGTTTATTTTGACATTTCGAAATCCGAAGTGGAAATCTAAATGTACAGTGGTGTTAAAAAGTCCTGCATCACCTTACCAAATACATGAAAATAGAAGTTTAAGGCATTTACCTTAAATATTTTTTAACCATTTACTATCTACATCAAACAAGTACTTAAACACAATATTATAAAATGGAAAAACAGCAAAAATTTTGATTAATAAAAAAATGTAGTTCAGAAATTTTTTCATTCAATATTACAAAAATTAGGCTATTTATATCAAGACGAAATTGTACATCACATTGAAGTAATTTAAACGGATTTTAATATTTAATTGGTCAGCCCTTGTTTTTAATAACTAGTTCACATCTTTTGGGCATGGAATTTATTAATTTTTGCAGTTCCTCCATGGAAATACAGTGATGCCAAGCGTGGATTAGAGATTCGATTAATTTCGTTTTATTTGTGGGTTTGCTTTTGGAAATGATGTTTGACATCCTTTGCAACAAATTCTCGATGGGATTGAGGTCCGGGGATTGCGCCGGCCAGTTCATCAATTTCATTACTCTCCATCCAAGCTTTCACCAATTTTACTCTATGACAAGGAGCATTATCATCCTGAAAAATAAATGTTTCTTCGACAAACAGGTCTTTTCCACTACGCAGCATGTTATTCTGTAGTACCTCAATGTATTTGGTAGCTAGCATTCATCATCCCAGAAACAACGTGTATGCGACCAACTCCTCGAGCGGACATGCAACCCCTTATCATAACGGATATTGGATGTTTAATTGTGGGAAGAACACATTTTGGAGAAAATTCTTCGCCAAAAAAAGCGGATTCATCACTAAACAGTACACTCTGTCACTGCTCTGCTTTCCAGATTCGATGTACCTTGGCCCATTTCAAACGGTGCAATCTTTGCTTTTCTGAAAGCAGCGGTTTCTTCCGTGCCTTACATTTTCAAAGTCCAAAACTAAGCAGTCTTTTTCTCTCAGTGAAAGTGCACACGCTTACACCTGTATATTCAGACCACAACTTCGTCAATTGGGTGAAATAAAGGTTTCTGTCTACCAGACTTGTTATTCTTAACGCAGCGTCATCTCGAACAGAAGTTTTCTTTGGTCGGCCACTACGCGGTCTGTCGTCGATTTTTCCTTGTTCAGCCTACTTCTTAATGACTCTAATTACTGTAGATTAATTACAGTTTACTGCGGATGCTATTTCGCGACTAGATTTGTCGTTTTTATGGTGAAAAATAATTTCAAAACGCTTTTCGTCCGATAATTTAGTTTGTATGGTTTGGGATGGCATTTTGACCTTTTTATCAAAAACCAAAGAGCGAATAAATGTGTTAGGGTAACTACATTGTTTACGTAGTCAAAATATATGGCAAATTTGTCATTAAGTTTTAATTTAATAGTACTTTAACGACTTAATAATCACCTCATAATTTTCTCAAATTGCGGGAAATCCCTTCAATCATATTATTTTAATCTTTTCTGTAGAATTTTGAGTTAGTAATTAAAAAAATATTAGTAAGTATACCGATAATGCTAATTACAAGCACAAACTTAAAATGAATTAGCGAAAATATACAAAAAGCTTGTGATAAACCTCAAAAACTATGAGGCGCTTAGGTGAAGCAGGACTTTTTAACACCACTGTATGTATTTTAAACTGAAATTGTGGTAAATTTCCATTAAAAATATTAAAAATAATATTAAAATACCATAACAAATAGATTCAGAAAATATTAAAGTCGACCAGCGTCATAATTGCTAACAGCGTACATATTTAGGTTAAAATTATAACATAGCATAAAGTTACTAGCTTTTTAGTTTTTCTTTTAAGGATTTATTTAAGTCTTAAGTTAAGTCTTAGTTATTAATATAAGTCTCTTTTAAGTTTGTTGTTACCATTGCTTCGCTGATATCATCTCATAAAGCCGCGGTAACATTTATTGGTGTTAATGCGGCGTCGTTTGACCCCATCTCTTTTACAACCGACCGGATGCCGTTTTAGTAAGACAAATGTTTTAGTGGGGAAGCAGTTAGTTAGTAGAGTGTAAAGTGTTGTTTGCTATATTATTTGTCTACATTTATATGTTAATTATTTTGAATAGCGATGTAGCGTCCGTGGGACAGCGTGGTTGAAAATATTGCAAACGATACATAATGATTGCGTATCACTGATTTTGTAGAAAGTATCAGTGCCAGTACCCGTGTGAATGAAATTTCCGAAAAAGAGAGTACCCGTAAAGAAGATTCGAATGCATTTAAATGCTGAAACCTAGCAAGTATGTTTCGATGTATACAAGAATCTACATAACAAAATTCGGCTTTGATGAAAAACTGTTGATGCAAGCAACTTCTTTTTTATTCCACTTTCAACTATTACTCCAGTCGTCAGAGACGAAAATACCACCGAACCTCTAAAAATCATACGAACAAGATGATTTTTGCTGAGGATATTAACGTTGGGACTAAAAAATGAGGTGCAAAAAGTTTACTACCCCCGGCTTCCTCCTAAAACGACCTCTCGTAGGAAAGGAAAAATGGAAAAAATCGATATTTCTTCAATTGTTGATAATGGACTGACTCCAATTTATATCTAAACGCGAGATGAAGATTCATAAATAGACCATCTTCTTTTTTATAGCATTACAAACGAGGGTGTGTCTTCGCCGATTTTACAATCTGCCTAGTTTTATTATTATTACATTAAATTATTATTAGGGTTTCACGCGGGACAGGCCCTTGTCCCGTCCTGCAGGGGTTTCAACCAGAAGATCCAACTTCCTTGTTTCTTCCAGGTTAGGGCTCTTTTTCCATATTTTTTATATAATTCTACTACAGTTTTGTCTTTATTTCTTGTTTCAAGGAATTCGTGGCTGGGATCTATTACTAGAGAAATCATACAGTAAGCAGGTACCACCAATTTGTTTTATTGTATTATTTGATAATCTTATTTCTTGCTAATATATATATTTTTTTCAAATTGCATTCCTCGTCATTGTTTTGGTCTGTATTAATTTCTAATATTTTTTTGTCGAGTAAGTAACTTTTTTACAGTTTTTTAATTAATCTTATATTGGTTTTAGTAAATCCCATTTTGGGATTTATATTGAAGTAATGACAGAAGAAAGTATGGGAAAGAAAGTTTTTTTATTTACCACGTTTACTTTAAAGGTATCATCACCTGGTGGTCACGCTGTAATGTCGGGTGGCGGTTTATCAGGAGGACCTAAACCAAAACAATGTTTTGCATACCTTGCGTGCATTGCAATTAATTAAAAAGAATTGTCGAAAACATTTTAAAACATACGGGACGTTTCGCAAGACCGCCAGTCCCATCCGGCAGAAAACTCGCTGTCCCGTCCCGCAAAACAATCGGTGCGCCGTCCCGCAGCAAAAAAAAATGTTGTCCCATCCCTCGTCCCGTTCTGTCCCGCAGGACAAAATGCGGACAGGACGTCCAGCGTGCATTCCTAATTATTATTTACTGAGTTACAGTGCTTAAAGTGACGCAACTTTAATGGATTCAAAGCAATTTTGCGTGGTGATTTATCAATGTTATTTAATGGGATTAATACCGTCCACACTGAGCAATGGCGCAAAAGTGTTACCGGGACTCTGCTCCATCGATTACAACCATTAAACGATGGTATTCTGAATTCAAATGCGGTTGTACCGACACCAATGATGCTAAGCGTCCTGAAAGGCTAAATGATGCGGTTATTTCCGAAAACATCGGGAAAGCGCTGAAAATTATTATTGAAAATCGCAAAGTGAACTTGCAAGAGATATCTGACCCTCTAAAGTTATCAAAGAGCAGCGTTTTGACTATTATACATGAACATTGGCGTATGCGAAAGTTGTTTTCCAAATGGGTGCCGCGTTTTCTCACACCAGAGCAAAAACAACAACGAATTGATTAATCTCGGCACAGTTTGGACTTGTTTAATCGGAATAAGTCAGAGTCTTTGCATGGGTATGTCACAATGGAGGAAACATGGATCCACCACTTTACTTCGAAATCAAATCGGCAGTCATCTGAGTGGACAGCATCCGGAGAACGTCGTCCAAAGCGCCCAAAGACGTAACAAACCGCCGGATTGGTTATGTCTTCTGTATTTTGGGACCCGCAAGGAATTATACTCATTGAATATTTGAAACACGGAGAAACAATCAACAGCGACTACTATATTGGTTTATTGGAGCGAACGTTTAAAAACCAAAATCGTAAAGAAGAGGCCTATAAATATATTCACGTCTAATCTATCTAAATCGTTATACCTAATAATTTGTCAATTGGAAATAAGTTTAACCTCAAAATAGTTAATTCTACAAAATACAACAATTTTAATGTGACCTCGATTTTTTGCTCGCTAGTATAGTTACCTAGAAAGGTAAATCGTGACTTTTAATGTAGCACAAAAAATAAACATATGTATATAGATATTTATTTATATTTAAAATACGTAGAAACTCGAAAATCTCTAATGATATTATAAAATGTCTATAACATTTTCTTGACGTAACAAAATAATATTTTATTTTGTCATATCGGCCTAATATTATTGTATTAAAGTCTCCCGATAGACTCCTGTTAGTATTAATAAGCACATTTATTGATTATAATGTAATCCATTTTACTGTTTAATTTATAATTTAAACACTCTACTGACATTACAACAATGTCTACAAAAACTCCCTTTCTCACAAGAAAGTTAAATATTTGAAATAGTATTTTGTCGAGATGGAAAACATTGAAATGTAAAAAAGCCTACTTAACCCTGGATTACTTGCATAGCAACTTGTTACAGGAGCGGTCGCGTGGGATAAACGTGTGTCCCG